TTGTTGCATGCTGGGAGGATGTCTACTCTCTTGTGTTATAACGATCCAACAAGGCGAAGGGAGTGTAGCGTGGAAATATTTTAAAAAAAGAAACGGAAAACGATGTGAAGTAATGATAACATGCGACCGACGGTCGCTCGGAAAAATCCGACAATTTCAGTCGGAATTTCAACATTCGGATTCCGACCGAGCAATTTGGAAAGTCGGTCGGAATTCCAACTGTCGAAATGATGCAAAGTCAGGTCAGTCAGATTGAAATGTCGCTCGGATGCCATCACTGCTGTGAAGCACGTTTGCTCGATATGTCAAAAGGAGCTCATTATGAAACAGTCATCAATAAAAAGCCCTCTCGACTAGTGTTCGTCGGGGAGCAGATTTGCGCACAGGGGGTCCACGCGGGGAGAAAAGTGGACAGGGGGGGGTCTCCGCAAAAAAAATCGGGTAGCAAATTGCGCGGGGAGGGGAGTCCCCGCGGAGAGTAAATTGGGCGGGGGGGGGTCCCCACAAAGAAGCCGGGGAGCAAATTGCACGCGGGGACCCCGTCGGGGAATAACTGCTCCCCGTGTTCCCCGACGGGGAGGACGGGGAGCATTTCAGCTCAATTTTTTAAACAAAATTTCCATTTTTTAAAAGATTTTTCTTCTTTTTTTTTAAGTAGTTTTCTTTCAAGTACACCTTATACTCACATTTCAAAACAAACAACAAGACAATATTGGAAATGTTGCAGCGGTCTTTCACCATTTTCATTGATTGTTCGCTTTATTCGCGAAGGTTTGCGCTCCCCGTCCTCGTCGGGGAGCAAATTGCGCGGGGGGAGCGCTCCCTGCGTTCCCCGTCGGGGTCCCCGACGGGGATCCCGTTTACCGACGAACACTACTCTCGACCATTTACCTATGGTCTATGCTAACGAAACGGTTGTGTCGAATAAGAAAATAAAAATAATGCTTGATGACGGTTCGAAAATTGTCGACTTATACATTGTCACAAGAACGAAACGCTTCTGCTCGTTTTAGTATGAAACGATATTCCTCATCTCTGTGACAGAGATAAATTGTAACTTTTAGTGGTGAACAAAGATGACATGGAGAAGAAGAAATTTACCTTGTTGTCATTGCAAAATGTTACTTATTTCTTCTTTCCAGAAACAATGTATTGTTTATTTTTTCGTGTGGTACAATCAAATATTATTATTAAGACCGCATTATGTATTTGCGGTTATCTCTGTTCTATCAATTAGATTGCTTCATTTCGATGCTTTGCTAACACATTTCTGTGCTCGAGTTTCTGCGGACTCGTTACACTTTCGAGGAGAATTCAGGGATTGAGAATAGGGATAAGAATGAGATTGGGTTTTTTCCCCGTCCCCGACATTTTTAAAGCAACCGCATTTTTGAGGTCTTCGACTGCAATTTCGTCCACAACTTTCACCGTCCCCGACTTTTTGCCTTTCCCGCAAACACTAGTCTAATCCGTCAGTCCAGTTTAATTCATGTTATAGTTTATATCTAATAGTAAGTTCAAGCAACATTTCATTATCCATTCATAATCACTATTTGATCAGTAATCTACTTTTCAGTTGTACTCCCAACTTCAAAACCAGCTTTTTTTTTACACTGATCACTTACTTACAACGTTATGCTTACTCGTCCACTACCGGTCCATGGTGTGTTCTTGTTCCTTTTGTATGATATTTCAGCAAATTGTTTTCTGATTTCCTGAACTGTAGTTGCTTATTCTACGTTTTCGTTCAGTTCCGTGCGTGCCGTGCCGTACGCACAAGAAATTGGCGCACTAATGAACATTTGCTGAAACAAATAATTCAATTTTTGTGTTCTTGCTTTGTGCATAGCATAGTCGGAGTCAGTCAGCTGTTAGCTGATGTGTATGAAATTGATTGATTAATATTAGAAACATGCTCAAAAGGGCATTGCAGCTAACAACAATAAAAAGATCTTTTTTTTATCATTCTATGGACATTAGCAGCATATCGTAGAATGATGAGCATTGCTGTGAATTAACTGAAATTTATTCGCTGATGTTGCTATAGCATTGATTTTTTATGCATAGCACGTATCTGCAATAATTGCTCATTTCAAAAGCATCTTGCAGTTGGTCATAGCTTCGTGCAGTGCACTTACTGATCTCGTCTAGTTTTTGTTCACTGAGTTAGACCAAATTTGCATTTCTCGGTCTTTTTTTCGTTTCACTATTCCTTTTCACTTGGCTGATTTGTTAAATCATTTCTCATTACTAATTGTTAACTCATTCCTGATTGTTATTTGCTTGATTCATTACTCGTATTTCTGATTGTTGTACTAATTTACGTTCTGAACATCCATTCACAATGTTTTTCGACCTACTCGCTTTTCACAATACGAATCTAATTATAGCCGCTTCTGTTTTTCACGACGGCTAGCAATACTTATAGTGATAATATGATATCTGAGATGTACCGTAATATCAGTGTCATGATATATAAAAATGTCAGCGAAGAAGAATGTGATAACAGAGAAGCATAAACTTGTAATAAGTTGTAATTGCTGATTAAATAAATGAATAGATAAAATATCTGAGTGATAGATACCCTTTCCATCTCTAATGGTATAGTCATAGGAAGAGTGATAATGCTAATAACGGCAAGATTTATGCAGCGAGCTGGATTAAGTATATCGACGTTTAACGCTCGATTAAGTGATCGATCATTCAAAAGCGATGTTCCAAATGAGCCGAAGATCATTAATCAATATAATGCCGGTTGAATTATTACTCTGCAGTGGAAATGAAACGATTAACTGAATTCATTTCATGGCAGTCGTGACGCTGCCTGCATCCAATGAAATTCATTCTATTTGAATCAAATATTCGAGAATTATCCACTCCGAAATTGAATTTCGTGCGCAAAATTGCGGTTTATCATTAATTTTGAAGCTTTTCAGTAGCACTCATTACTCACTCTCCTATTTTTCATTCAGTCGTTCGTTGTTGTGCACATATAAGTAATTGATTATGGAGCAGGATGCGTCTCTGTTGTTACATTAGTTTCATGATAAAAAGATACATCTTTATGAAATCTTCCACTCATTCCAAAAATATTCAGTCTTTTTATGTATGCAAATGGAAATTGCTCAAAAGCGTCGATTGTTGTACGTGGCAGTGAATGTAAAAGCGCTTTATGAAAATACTTGTATGTATTTGAAACTCAGCTGTAGTTTTCGTTAATTGAATTATTGGCTGAGTCTATTCAACATTACACTTCCGTTCAATAGGAAACGTTCACATTGCATTATTTGGAATTATTCCTTATTCGTCTTTATTAATTACGTGCACTTATATAGATGCATTTTTCTCTAAACTTCATCCAAATGAAGTCTTTTTTTCAAATTGTATATTGTTAGATGAGTGTTATAGGAAACAAATTCCGGTCTGTCTCAGATACTCACTTTTCTCGTGCAACTTCTCAAATGTTGATCGTTTCAAAATTCGAACCTCGCAAACGAATCGATCCACGGCCGTGCGTGTAATGCATTATTTTGTCTATTCGAACAGCAAAAGTGGTTAGAAATTACGCTCACTGAGTGCTCAAACGAAGACGAACTTGATACGGAGTTGAGTTGCCCTGTTTTCACTCAGCAACATCCCATCAGTTTATGATGCCAATGCTATTCATTTTAGTAATCTGTTGTAATTCTTTTTAGTAATCTGTTGTAACGAATCGAATGATAGTGTTTTCTTTTTTCACAATGTTTTGTATCAAGATGGAGTATCAAATAGACAAGTATTGCTGATTGTGAGTAGAACTGGTTTAACATGTAATATTCATTATTGTATCTTTATCTGCTCACTGGCACTTTCTATTCAGTTACAAAATATCGTTTACACGCTTCACAATGGTCACAGTTCATTCCTTCATTCATTCTTCTCTTATCGTGAGCGTTTGTTGTTTGATGAACTTGTTATACATGGCTTTCTTCTGATTCTTTGATGTCGTTATATCGTCCGCTCAGATCCGACGAATGCAACTTTCAACTGGATGTATGCTGAGCCGTGATTTTCCGAAGTTCGAATTAGATCTAGCACATGCCGTGATGCGAAGTTTCTGATTGAATACGGAACGATGAGATGACGATAGTGTGATTAAAAGTCATAATGTGAACGTTTATTGGATATTTCATTTTTCAAAACGTTTCATTTTCAAACGATGACACTAATTAAGGTGGTTTACAGACATCTGTTTTACTGTATATTTATAGGATGAAATGAGGAGCAGCGGTTCGTCATGCGCGGAAATGCTTCGTTCGGTGCTGCTAGCTCATTGCGACGGTTCACGACCCAGTCTTCCGGAGGTTAACGTATTTCTCGACTTTGAAAATGCATCTCCCTCTGAATCCGAATTTCATTTGTTCTCGATCGCCGATAAGGTTTGCATTGCACTGCTACTTCATCGATTAATGTTTCACTGTTGTTTTCTTGCATTCGCTTCTTGACACCTATAGCATATGTACGACATGAATTCTATGTTTACAAAAGGTTTCCACATCGGTCATTTAAAGTTGCTTCGAGTCTAACTAAATAATTTCTTGTATGCGACGTCTACTTATTGATTGTCGCCCTGTTACTCAACATGAATCATTTGTTGTAGAAACATTTCGCTGTTATCGGTACATCACGCTTAACATTTCATTGCCTGCCTTGTTCTTTTAAGTGCAAGCCGAAGGTGCTGAGTGGGGAACGTGTGCAATGCAATTTTTTGTTCATCAAAAAAATCGATTCACTTTTGAAAGCGTCCATGTAGCATCATCATAAGTTTATGAACATTAGTTGTAATCGCTCGCCTCACACATAGTTATAAATATTTGAGAAGTAAAAAAGAATAAATGCTGTTGTTGGTTGGCATATTTCAAAGTTTGTACTTTTATTTTGATGATACACAACTCTGTTGACTTTTTCATTCAATCCAATTTGTGAAGCATTCCGTCTCGAGGAAAGGAAAACTTTCAAGTGAAATTTGGATCGTTTTTAATAATTTATCAACCACCAAAATGCCTCTGAAGCATTATTCAGTTGGCTTGAATTATGCGTATGCAAAGAGACAGACAGCCCTCATCAAAAAAAGAGAGAGCAGTATACATAAGTATGTATGTATTCATTCGTGTTTGTGCTATTCGAATGATCTTACAAAGCAGTCGGCGACGCAAATCCCTTCAGAAATTGCTGTCGTTCGTTAAAAATTGCTATCAAGCTTATACTTTTTGCATTCTTTCCACAATGAACGTGTTTGCTTGTTGATCAATGCAAGATGCATGCGATGAACTGATGTTGAATTGAACGACTAAATGCGTTCGGCGAAATTCATCAATTCATCCAATATATACATAATACGAAAAACACGTAGTGTGTGTACTGCGTTCACATGCACCACTTTACGACATCCATCTAAGGGCAATCTATGCAAATAAATCATTCGGGTGCAAATTAGACTCAGAGAGAAGCTTGAGCGAGCGTAAGCATAATTCAAGCGAATAGAATTGAATTGCGCCGAGTGATATCTGTAAATTGCACTCCTTTTAATACGGCCACAAACTCAGAATTCAACTTGCATTCATTCGTGTTTTGACATTTGGCTGTGTGCTGCTGCTTGCATAAAATACGCAAATGAATATTGCATCGCGTTGGGTTTAGATGCATTGAATCGTAGCCAACAATGAATTCATTTGATCGTGAAGAGTACGCCAAGCTGCATCAGATTATGCGACTAGATTGTGTAAGCCATGACGTTTACAAATCGGATTGATTTGATTGATCTGTTGATGAGTGATTCTACCAAATAAAAACTTTATGAATACTTATCATTGAATGGTGGTATTATGAGGACATGGACAGCAAAGGAAACGCATAATTTTTTAATGAAGATAGGTGGTGTTTCGTTGTTACTTTGTTGATTCGGCTTGCCAAGTGAATCAACGAGAAATGCTCAATGATAACAGTTCAATGATCAAAAAAAAAACAGAAGGTAGCGCGCCCCTATACACTTATTTATCCATTTAGCATGTAAATTCTACTCAATAACTTTCTGTACCATCATCCAGTAATGCTCACAAACAAATAATCAAAAGAATTGTTACCCGAACATCTAGCAATGAACTGTATCCAGTTTAAATATGGCTCAGGTTGAACGTAGACTTTTCTTATTAGCGTTATTCTTTCAATACTAATCATCCGTTCACTTATTTGATGATATTATGAGAGATATGCGTGTATAATATCGAGGCGCTAATCAAAAGCAATGTGTTCTCTGAAAGACTGTTTTCTAGAATGACAGAAACATGTCTTTCTTCAAATTACTCACTCTATCATAATGGAACAGTGCAAAAAGATGCGTTACCTGTTTAAGGTACTGGAACGTGCCAATTTAGCACTAGAAGATATAGCAAGTTATGGGCCAGGTGCATCTGCAGAGGTACGTGTGGCCATTCAGCAACCAAATAACAGTGAAGCGCAATCGAAAGCGATGACTTTGTTGGATAAATTAGTGACTAGGATCCGAATATATTACGATCTTTCGCAACGTATCGAGCAGTTGGTACCTCTTCTACTTTGGGAACTTTGTTCGGGTTACTTTTTAATTGTTATACCGATGATTTTTTTCATATTTGTAAAATAATTGTATATTTCGATTGTGGCCTCATAATTGGTTAATGTGGATCATTTTAAGGACCTTTACCACCAGCTGAGCAATTGGATGCATTACAAGCAACATGTCGACAGTTTGCACGTTTCATCGATTTTGTTCTATCATTTGATGCATTGAAAATGTGTACTCCAGCACTGCAAAATGATTTCAGTTTTTATAGACGCGCAATATCCAGGGAGGTATGTATTTATTTATATTGAGAATCTTCATTTAGGTGTGTATCTGTTCAGAAATATCAGTGTAGCAAAATACGTTGCATATAGTCCCTTTGAAACTTTCGGCTGCTTCCCAAAAGACAGTCATATTTTGAATCGGAGAAATTAACGACCCGTAATGCTAATTCTGTGATGCATCATTAAAAATTTTCATTTTCCTCCATGCTTATACGAAATGCTATTTTTGATCTTCAATTCGTTGAAGAAGTGCGAATTGAATTCAAAAAAGTAGTCCAGGCAGTAATGTACGTACATAAGGTATGCAACCGAAACATTACATTGTTTACTCGTCGACATGAATGTGTTTCGCTGAAACACTGAACAATGGCTGTTGATTCTTCCTTCATGTTGCACAAAATGAAACTATCAGCAAAGTTTCAGACTAATAATACTTATGCAATTCCAATCGAATTAACCAATACGATCTCATTGTTTTTGGCAAGTCCAACCCCGATGTTATCTTCATTAACCAGTGCCACAATTCAGTTTGTTGTTGTACATAGCGATTTACCAGTAACAAATACTACCGATACTCTTGCTACCATTGTACAGGTTATCTTCATTTCTTTGCTGAAACTTCTTATTGAATAATTCTTGGAGTATTTCATTGTCCAACATTTCGCTCGTTCAGATATTTTCTTCGTTTTTGTCTATCGATCATTGAATTGGTTCCCAAGACAAAAGTGAACGACTCAAAATAATGCATCAGCGAATCAGCAGAGGGAGCTTCATTTGAGAATTGTTTATTTTTGAGGTATGCAGATATATGGTGGAAACGGAAGAGAATTGGGAGCGAATGTCCGAAATGAGTCGATTGTTTACGGTGCGTGTGATGGTAGGTGCGATCATACTCTATGATCACATCGATAATGCAGGTGCTTTTTGTAAAGAGTCACCGATCGACATGAGATCTGTAGTCGAATTAATCAAATCACAGCCCAATAGTGAGCAGGTTAGATGATCGAAGTTCTTTTATTGATAATGAGCAGTTACGATTGATTCTTTTAACTCACTGATGAGAGATGTGAGTGGATCGTTTGAAGCACCTCGGATCAATCGTCTTCAATGATTGATACGAAGCGTGCGTGATGAATGAATGGTTCGAAATTTTGTTAATGAAACTCATTAATTTCAGTTGATTTGAAATGTGTCGTTAAAAATAAAGCACCTATTCATATGTTCAACCGAGCACTTTGATTCAAATCAGTGCTTCTCAACATTTCTTTCCCTCCGTTCCCCATGAAATATTCTAAGATATCGTCGCACTCTTTAAGATTCTTCAAGCATAGTTAAAATCTCCTCGCCCCCCTCACAACATTCACTCTGTATCTCTCATCCACTACAGTGAGTGTTTATAATGTAGAGAACGTTCCAGTACGTTTCAAAAATTTATACATTAAAGTCCATTTTCAAAAAATACATACTTTACAAACATGTATGTATACGTTGAACTCCGTCCTCGGCTACTTCAATGTATAAAAAATAAAACCTTATTTCGCACCTCCTGGAATACCACCTCGTCCCCTTGCGGGAGGGGAGGCGGGGGGAGGCAAGTACTTTCGGTTGAGAAACGCTGCTTTCAATGCTAACATTTTGAAACGATCGATGAAGAACGAGTAATCTTAACAACACTTAAATATTCGTTCTCAAATCGAGGAGTGCGTGACTGCCCTAAATAAAATTCTGCACTAACATTGATTTCGAAAAGTATGTTCCTTTGGTGCTCTATGATTTGCGAAAAATACAGTTTGCAGTTAAGAACTGTGCTGATTTCGATGTTCATTAGAATAAACGAGCACTGGTCATGTGAGTGCGTTATGGATGGAATTACAAGATTGGTTTTGAATGTGTGCAAAATATTTAAGGTTTTTATTGGATTGCAGGTCGAGTCTTTATTGAACGCACTTCGATACACAACCAAACATCTCAACGATGGCTCTACACCGAAATCGGTGCGAGCATTATTCCCCTGAACCGAGTGATGAGTGAAGCAGCATTTTCTCCGTTCGAATAGTCCATTATTCATTCACTCAACGCAAAATACCAGCATTGAAAATTCTATTCATTAGATTCTGTTTGTATTATTATGATTATTGCTATTAATATTATTATAATTTTCATGATCGTTACTTCTTTTACCGAGTTATGCATAGTTTCAATAGCTTCCTGTCTGATTGTGAGTCATCCTGTAATTTATTCGTAAACATTCACACGATAAGAGGTGGATAAAATTTAGTGCTAAAATGAACATTTGGAAAAAGGCGAATCGTTATAACTGCTTATGATCAATTGTACATAAAAAGCAAACTATTCAAATAAATCAACGAATAAATGTACTGAAGTGATAAATTGTTGCATATTCACGAAAGAAATTCTTTCGTTTTTTTTCATTCATGCGGATTTTTTTTCGCACGAAAATCGATCCACTCTGGTATTCCGTGATCAAGTATAAAATGTATTCTGCTTTCTGTGGATTCCTCTTTCCACAGTTCTGCAGTTCAAGCTGGAGTAAGGGCTCATATAAAATGAGGCGCGTGTAAATGGTTTACAGCCCACATGAATGTTAAGAAGCAACCAACAGTCCGTTGCTATACACAGTTGAAGTCACCAATAAAAAGCATCGTTTATCATTCCACTGCTGTTGTCCAGTTGTCCATAGATCAACTCGAAAGATGAATTTGAGTGAACTCAACGGATGGCTCACTACTATCAAATTGCATGCAGATTCCAATTTACCGCACCACAATCATTCTATTTTTTCAGTTCAAATGTTTATTCTTGATTCGTTTTATATTTCTTACTTTAGTTTATGAATGATTCCTATAATAAATTATCTACTTTTTTGTATATTCCAAATACAGATAATGGTGATTGTTTTAATTCGTATCTCCAATTTTATGAAAAAAATAATCTTTTAATTTCACACATAATAATGGTAACAATTAGGATTATTATTGTTTGTAATATAAGTATGTTGCTTGTGTTGAGTCATTTACTCATATCGTTTATTTTCTTGCTTAGAAGATGCTTGACTCATTTTCATATTGATGATTGCTATTTGATTGGTCGCCTCTATTGTCTCGCAGTCTTTGTGAAATTGAATCCATCAAAAGAGAAATGTCGTATGTCTGTTGTTTTAATCACTTGGCGTTGCATCGTTCGTCCAAACCAACAACTGAACGTCACATTTCAGTTTATCACTAAAGCTGAACTTAAGTCCGAGCTTAAAGTAGGTCCTGTCTACCTCTCGATCAAAGTTTCATAATCAAACATCGATTGAACAAAAGACTCGCGTGATTAAAAGGCGAATTTCCACATCTAGATTCTTTATGGAGTGCGATTGATATACTTGCAATGTGTCTGTCTATTGCAGATGAAAACAAAATGATGTGATACCTACTTTTTTCGAGTAATATTTCCAATAAATGAATTATTCTGCTGATGTTGTGATAAAGTATTTTCTTATTTTACAACCGTATGCTCATAATGATGACAGTGGTTGCAAAATGTTGATATTCCCCAGTGAAGACTTCATTTTATATTCCATTTTTATCACTTTTTATATTGCTCCTTCCGGTTAAATGCTGCGGTTTGTCAGTCTTGTAGAACTATTCTTTTTTTGTAGGCTAGCTAGAATATGTACCGAATTTCGATTCCATTGGTTCGTTTTGTGGAATGAAATTTTGTCAATTTTGACAGACTTCAAGCCCACGGACAGACATACAACCAAGATTCATTACCGTGTGTTTGCATTTGTACATGAAGAATACTTCATCACATGAAAATTTTCAGTGATTTATTTACACACATGAGTTTCATGTATTGCGTGAACTGAAAAATGGAACGGGAATACGATGTAAAGAACAGCACAAAGTCTGTATTTTAACAAATCGACGCAAACAACATGATTTTAGCGTTGTGGTACGTATTGGCAGAGTTTGATCCGATTTCATTTTGAAAATTGAACGAATCAACAAAATATTCATTCAAAACGCCAACCACCGCAGTGCGGTGCCATGAAGGGATGAAAACCATAATTTGAAAAAAACAAAAGAAAGTCAGATATAGGAAAACAACCCAAGTTGCACGGAAAACATCACATATTGCTTAAGGGACCAGGTTGTATGTAGATTCACACAACAATCCATCACAAAATAGTCCTCGTAAAGGCCAAATCGTGCTCTGACAATGCTTTAACAATACAATGTTTGAACGACAACCACATTTTATGGTTCTCCTAAGACTATTCTAGGAATCAGTGCTTCATGTGTCCAGCACATACAATGATTTGTTCGTGCTATTCATTAATTACATCAAAATGTGAGTACTCTTTCTTTTACAGGGTAAAATTGTGATGATTTGTTTATGTTAAACATTGTTTGAAGTTATACCACACAGCTCTTATAATTTCAACTTAGATCACCACTACAATCATTTTTGACATCCTTACTCTAGAAGAACACAGTTGTAAGATAATTCGTTGTACCTGAGAGCGTGCACTCCACACTGCTCACACAAAAAATTTATGTCAACTAAATGTTCATTTTACTCAGAGTTAATCATCTTTTTCTATCACAATAACAAAGTTAACACACGGTATCCTCTGAACTTACTGAACACTTAAAAAACCATGAACCCAAATTTCCATGAACAGTAGCATCTGAAACAACGTAGTTCAGCGGAAGGTAACAAAGTTAGACCATCGACGACGAGGTTGAAAATGCGACATCAACCTAACTGTATTATAGTACATCCCAAATGCACAAAGATTATAGAACAAAACAGAAAACTTTATTAGTGATGATACAATAATAGGTAATGTAACGATTCAGTTGCAAGTAGAATGATAATATAATTTAAAAACGTACGAACATGAGCCAAAATAAAACGGACTGGATCATCAGGGCATACATAACATGAATGTGATGAAGAGTGATTGTAACTTCGGTACAATATTAGCATATAAGTGTGACCTGAGATGCTCTTTTACAGTATCGAACATTTTTTCTTCTTATCTTGCACTGGAGGCTCTAAAGCTGCCAGTATGGCTTCATCAAAAACGTTCTTCAGTCCTTTCTGCAAATTAAACAATACTCATCATCATAATCTTAAACTATCAGATAAGTCTTAGCAAACAAATCTCACCTAACTAGCGTTTTTCTTTCCTATTTTATTTCGTCTCCTCATTTTCATTTTGAGAATGAGACTCTTCAAAATGGATTCGAATTTGAAACACCTCAGGATTGTTCTGTTCAAACCGCTTGCAAAGAATCGATGGCAACCGGAAACCTGGACGCAACTTTTCTACTTATTATCTCGTTCAAATGTTCATTAATTACAAACAATTGCAACGTAGTGGCAAGTGAGAATCCGAAGTGAGCAGGCAAATAAACAGTAGCGAATTAACCTGAGTGAGGGCGGAGCACTCGACATATTTGACAGCTTTCAGCTCTTTGGCCAGTTTTTCACCGACATCTGATGAGATCGGTCGCTGCTTATTCTTCGCTAGTTTCTCAAGATATGACGGATCTTCCCTCAGATCGATTTGAGTACCCACCAACAGAAATGGTGTTTTAGCGCAATGATGTGCTATTTCTGGAACCCACTGAAATTTAAAAACATTCATTGATTCCAATTTAAAATTATACACATCACATACCGAAATGCGAACCAAACGAAATCACATCAATACTACAGCCTGAAAAGTGTTTCAATGAGCCACTTCCAAATCAACTGTCTCACTCTAACAATTGCCGAATGAACTTTTCAAATCGTAAAAAAACGGAAACTACGAAGTTCGTAATTTTATGGTCGCGATAAACTTTTATCACCAACTTCCATTGACATGTAGACAAATAAATAAATCATACAATAATCGCTTATTATAATTAAAAACTACAAAATTTTTTGCAAACAGCACCGCTCGGCTGGGTCCCTCTCTCTCTCAAAAAACAAAACAAAAAAGTCCGAAAGAATATGAGAAATATGAAAAATGTTCCAAAAACTGAATAGAATAACTTACCTTTTCTTTGACATTCTCGAAAGAGGAGGGTGCAACAACGGAAAAGCAAACAAGAAAAACGTCGGTTTGAGGATAAGAAAGTGGTCGTAGCCTATCGTAATCTTCCTGGCCTGCCGTATCGAATAGGCCCAAAGTGTACGGCTCACCACCAATCATTACTGTCACCTGCAAACAGAATTAAAGCAATATTTCTGCCCAACAAAAGATTGGCATCCTAGATTAATATCCTTTTTTTTCCAAAGTGGGATGGTGTCTTTGTGTCGAACTTAACACATCGGATATGCTTCTTTACCTGTCGACTCACAAAAGCTAACTGCTTAAATGTCGGTCTTAAACTCCAAAAGCGGAAAGTTGCATTCATCAAAGCAAAGAGCAGTAGAAACCGAGGATAATCATGACAACAAAAGACATGAAGCAAATGAATTCGATTGAACGGAACCAAGCGAAAGATACTGAAGTGAATGCGCAGATCAGTTACAGTTCTACGCTTAATTGTTGCTACGAACTGAAGTTCGAAATAAAAAAGTTTCAAAAATCATTGCTTACAGCATAGTTGTCGAATACAGTTGGCACATATTCACTGGGAAACTTATTGGTTGTGTATGAGATCAGAAGGCACGTTTTACCAACTGCACCATCACCAACCACAACACATTTTATTGTTTGCATTCTGTTGTTACCTCTCCTCTTCAATTCTGAAACAGCACAAATTATCTTTTTCTCTGATGATATGAAAATAAAAAAAACAACTGCACGTTAAAGACAACTGCAAATATGATAGCTATTAATTAGAATGATAAAGATGACTCATATGAATTCATGTTTGAGAAAAGAGTAAAAACCCGCAACGAACACATGCACGTATAATATCTCCAACATCATAACAACCATTTGAAAATGTCATTATGCACGGCTTATAATTGTAAAATTCAATTTCCAAAATCGAACTAAGTTTGCATAAATTACTACCACCAAAGAATACTTGAAACATTAGAAGTGTGAATTTTACTTATTAGAGACAAATAGCCACTGCAGCATAGAAAAATGCCAAGTATGGTTGAAAAACTCGATTCTTATTTGCAGTGTGAATGAATGTCGCGCATCCTCAAAGAACACTTCTTGAGTTAAGCGCACAACGCACGCAACGCTGTTTCAGTTGTGCCGTACGCGAAGCAACTAACGTATCATCGCCGCACTGTCCAGTTGTAACTCAATGCCAATGCACTGTTTTGTCCGTGGTCGTTTAGCCAACGCATACAAACAAGGGCTGCGGTGATCGTTTATGTGTTGTTGCGTTCTTATTCATTTGTTGAACAATTACGGCTTATTGTGAGCATGTAAATGTGAATTTGTTCATTTATTTGCAGCATTCTTGGCCGCACACAACCATTCACACTATACAAATCCAGAAACCATTCATTTTCCTGAACCCTATCTCTATCGTTTATTTAGTGACTTCTGAGGTGTTCAGGTTACTCTTCTGAAGCTAGAAAGAAGCGCTTAAAATGAGCTCAACAAGACAAACTATGATCGATCGAATGGATTAGTGTCCACTGATCGCTCAAAACAGTCGTCCGAAAGCGGAGCGCGATAAATCAGCAGTTTTTCTGAATCAGTCAGAAATCTTTGTTAAATTGCGGCTCTAATGATTTTAACTAAGTGAATTCAACAAAATCAATCAAGCATCCTCACCATGTTGTAAACTAAACGACCCATGCCTTGCCGAGCCATTTATTAACGATTGTGCTGAATGCTCATAGTCCGTTGGCCGAATAGGTTCGAGATCTCGTTACAACAACAGACGCCAGCCGAATGAGCAAGAGGCATTGTAACGACTCTCTTCTCAATACATTTTGCCTAATATTAGTATATGTGCACGTTGCTGCAATCCGTAAAAAAACGTAAGCACGAATACCCTTTGCTTCATCGGGGCAAACAGATCGTGATAACTACTTATTCGGTGTCCATTTAACCACTAGCCTCCTCTCGCTAGACAGCTAATGCCGTCATCATTTCATTGTCAGTTTGAATATCTATACAGAAGTTTCATTTTTAGTCGCAATGGTTTGAAATTGCTGTGGCAGTCGACATTCATTACCGTTATTTTGAAAGCATAGTTGACATCACCTTCCAGCTGTATCTTCTCATACTTTAGAAAATTTAAGTGAAATGCCATTAGGCAGAGACTTCGAGATTTTTTGATAGGACGACTTTTCATTTGTCTTATCTGTGAGTGATTGTGAGTTGTTGGCGTTTAACGGTATTCATGAAACACAAATATATCTTATCATCCATGTCCGAGAATTTTTTCACTTCCAAATCACCTTTCCCGCATACCAGATCAAATTACGTGTTCATCGGTCAATTTTTCAGTTTCATTGGTGATACCTATGATACGAATGAACATGTTGCTTGAATTTATTTTCATCGAGACTTGAATTTTTTTTTGGTAATTATTTCGAATATAATGAATGTGTATTTACATAGAAAAGTGATTATATGATAAACTATTTAATTTACACGCAGTGTTAATATAGGTAATCTCCGTTACAATGTATAAAGCTTTAAACTGCGCCAGTTCAGCTTTGTAGAAAATCAGCAGACAGGATTGATTCGATCAACCATAATGTTTTGTGTCTGACAAATTTCGCAAACGATGATGCATCGTTGAATCATATCGCTGCTTTTAACATATTCAACTTTGTATTCATTGTCTCTTTTCCATGAATAGCAACGCTTCGATACTTAAGTTGTGTTGCGAATTTACATTTAATCGTTGTAACTTTATCGCTTATTGCCAGCGGCTATATTTTGGAACATGATTGGGTTTTGAGAAAGAAATTGCTTATTGGAGTATACATATATATATTCGAACAATGACCGTTCGTAACAATTATTCAATTCAATAAGTATATTCAGCTTTGAAGTTTTTCGCCATAACTCCCAATTCATTATTAGCGACACACGCGTAAACGCCTTGATCGCCCATCGTTGCTGGATCAACTTCCAACTTACTCCATAACACATATTCGTCGATTTGTTTTTCATAATACTGTAAATATTAATTCTTGAAACAATATGGCAACAATTCGTTGTTGTTGTTGTTGTAATATTATAAACTAAATTTAAATTTCAAATTTAAATTTCATCACCCTTTTACGCTTATTATTATTGCCAATTTAAAAAACTTTGACAAAAAAATACTTTGACATGCTTTTATGTGAACACTATTTGTAAGATCTTGACAGAACATTTCGCATTTTTTTTGTGCATTTGTTATTAATTGCCTAAAAACGATTTGTTCAGGAAGCACTCATAATCTGCGACAAAAATATTCATCGCAAAAATTTGTTTTTTTTTTCTTGTAAATTCGTTGTTAAAAGTTCGGTAATGATTTAATATATCGTGTAAATTAAACGAATACAGCACCTGCAAATTAAATACACATTTAAATGAACTTCCAAATTTTAACACAATCGTTGCTTTGAAATGTTTTGGCATCGTATTTGGAAGATAACATGAGAACAGAGCTGATAATAGAATAGTTGAAACTACTCACATGAACATTATTTTTCGGATGCATTTCAGCACCCTCTTTATACCATTTAATTGTTGGTCGAGGATCACCTCTTGCCTTACAAATCAGTACGAGTTTATAACCAAGTCGAAATGTTTGACTGAAATGTGAACCAGTCACAATATGTGCACTCTGCAATTGGTATCGTTGAAACGTCTGTACTCGATCACTTTATTTAATCACTTCATGGTCTATGCAACGAACGATCTTGTTTTTTCCTCCTGTTGCACCCAGCTGGCGAACATTCCGCATTACGCGTAAACGAGAAGGATACAGTTAAGAACAGGCCAAAATCGGAGGCGATGGCAGCTGCACGAAAACCTCTCTCCATTAAGCATTATATCAAATTTTTTTTGGGTGTGAAGGCATAATGCCTGCCAGCAGAGGGCGTTATCACCGATCACTGCATACTAGTGATGTTAACCGTCCGAAGTCCGGTCGCTAAAAATTCGGATATCGACCGAATTATTTTGAGTTCCGGTTGGAATACCAAATTTCGGAAGTCAAACAATTGAATTCGGTTAGACTCCGACCGAACCGAAATTTCGTTCGGTTACCCATCACCTACAAGGGCAAAATATACATACTGCCATCCATGTGTCTACCGCTTTTAAGGAGACGAATTGTGAGCCCGACTTGCTTGTGATTGGAACGTTCGTAGTACAGTTCATGTTCGTAGAGATTATAATGCATTTGTGAATAGCAGCAGCACTTACATGATTATCAGCGAGATGCGTTTGAATCAATGAGAATTCGGCAACTTGCGCGAATTGTAGATTGCTTTTTCCTTTGCCCTTTCCCCCGCGACGTCCTCCACGTGACTGTACATCGCTCACAATGAATACGACGAATACAATGATGAACGCAATGAATTTGAATACACAACGCATTGAGTCGTTTAAAACTCGCAGAGCACAATCGAATTTGATTAGCAAACATCAACTGCTGCCGTTAGCATTCATTCATCCTGCCTTTCGACGATTCTTTCGCAGGTTTATCATTTCTGTTTTCACCTCGTCTCATCTCTTAAACCCTACTTCCTCTTCTTATCTTTAATATCGCTGACAGCTGGCTATTTCAAATTTATCAACTGTTTTCTGTGATCGGCTCTAGCAGTCAGTCCACTTTTCATACGAATTTCGTTAATCTGACTCAAGGATGTTTAATGAAGATCAACAATCATATTTCACATCAATTCCAAGTTTTGTTCAAAGGACAATTACCTGAATATTGATTATGCTCTCCTGAAATATACGGTTGTTGTTAGACGTTAAGAAACACTAACCAAGAAAAGTATGTTCGTGGGCCAATTTCCGGGTAATAATTCAAAATCCTGTCCATGCACAACAGCTAGAGTGAAAGGTTTGCTTTTTGGTAACGGTGTTCACTAAATAGATTGAAGGTTTGTACTTTACTCTGCGGAATACAAGAATTCGATTCCTCCGTCCAATTTTGTGCTCAAAATAATTGGTTGTTTCACGCAACAGTTCCCTCAGTGATTCTATTCGTTTTGTTTTTTAGACCAAAACCGTTGCTTAAAAGATGCTGGAAGAATCGTTTGTCGATTGCGATCCGTATCAAGAATCGTACTCTACGGTATCATCCGCTACCGCGAGTAGCACCATTCTACTGTCAGAAGTGCAGATTCTCTTCATATTTTGCATATGCGCTCAAAAATCACATTTGCTCAAGACGGGCGTCTACTGTGTACAGTTTCGAAAGAGGTGAGTATTGTTTAATATAATGATATTTCGACTGAAATATGGTGTTTCCTAGTTGATGACTATCGGAAATTCGATCATCTGATTGTATGCAAGCGAACAACTTTCAGAAGAGAAGATAGCAGCTAGTGGTTTTCGTTCCAAATCCAAAAACGCTCTGAGCGTTATCGAACGTGCTGGCAATCCATCCGCCTTCACTATAACAAGACCACACAGTTCGATCGCTGAGCCAACGCAACCGTCATACAACGTTCCTAATCTTAGGTGTGTGCTGTGGAATTGTTGACATCAACTGGTTCACTTATTCACATTAATTCGTAATAATTCTTTTTTTTAAATTCAATTAAAATTAATTGTTTGATGCAAACCTTCATTGAATTTTATTCTGAAATAAATTCTTGTGAATAGTGATTTATACGAAAATAATTGCTGATTGCTGAACGTAACCGAATTTGTAGTGAATTAGCTTATCGAGCAATAAACGCAGACCGTAATGAAGTGAACTATCCGACAAATTTCATCTTTGAACGATGTAAAACAACACGACGTCCATATGCGAGTTCAGTGACACATCGACGTAACGTGGTTTATTGTAAACATTGCAAATTATTATTCTATGAGCGGAATGATTTCTATGAACATTTCAAGCAATCTTCATGTGCGATGCCTGCATGTGCAGAAGATATCATTCATGTTCAGGTATGAATTGTTCGTTTGATGTGATGATCATTTTTTGAGCCAATTTCAATTGTTTGCTGCAATTTGAAACCGACCGTCAACGATTCACGTTTCACTTTACGTAAACCGTCGAAAGTTGCACTTTCTCAGCAATATTTTGGAATAATACCGGCAAACACAAATTGGTGGTGCATATAATGTACATATATATTTTAAAATCATTTGTTTATTATAATGTTTTCGTAACACTACTGGATATGCGATGTATTATTTGATTCAGTGTCGTGGTGCAGAGTGCATACCAGCTGAATATGAATATGGTCGACGATCGTGTTTGATAACGTTGCAATCGAATGCAACCATGGAATGTACCGCTTGTGGACTTTCGTCACGCGAATTCAGCTCGTGTGCAGACTTTCATCGACATCTTTTCAACTGTGATAGCACCACTATCAATCAACAAATAAAGCAGTCAAGAAACGTCACCAATTACAATTCCCAACAAATCACTCATTAATTTGTTGTTTTCTGTATATATGTATGATTGTATACATTCGTCACAGCGTTTTTATGCCATCTTCAACAAGATTTCTTCCCTTTTTTCACTGCTGAATGAGAATTAATTTATTGCATCGCACTTATATAATTTAAACTACCAAAAAGGATATGATCTTCCACAGTGGTGAGCTGTGACGCGCTAATTTTTTCATACTGCGGATTTTTTCGGCCATAACTTCAGCAAAAAAATTTTTTAGCGGGACAAAATAGTGGTAAATTGCGGTATTTTCTTTCGTTAGCGCTGTAGCCAGCTACTTTTTCAGAACCTCTGCCAGCTGCGTAGCTTTCATTCGCAACGGAATGTTTATTTTTCTCACACGAAAATATTGAAAGTGCGTATTTGAGCTCTAGCAGTAACAAGTGCTCAATTCAAACTTATTGTACCCGTACTCGTCTCAACGGGCCGAAGTTCAATATTCAGTCATACCTCGAATACTTCGTGTAAATGCATCATTGCGTCTGGGCCCACTAAGCTTTAAATAGGTTACGTGGCAGTGTAATGATGTTTTCTTTATTATTGTTCTCGTTGGGAAAGGAAACAAATGATATTTATTCGCATAGTAATGTGCGCTAATTACCTGGATTACCTGGATTGGCCAGGCTATCAAACGTTTATAACGTTGCTAGCCACGATGTTCGCGTTTCCGTGCGCATTGTTTTAGCCTTGATTGTAGCCACCCCGCTGGCTAGGCGAGCAGGCCAAGTGAGCACAACCGAGCACAACCGAGATACTTCACATCTATTGTTTTTATTTGCTTTTCGTGTTCTTCGAGAAAGTGACAAAATTACGATGAAATTTGCATTTTGAAAACAACACTGTTGGAATCAAGCAATAAGGAACAACGCCTATCACAATAATAATCAACTACTCGTATTCCCAACATCAACAACCGTGAAATGATACAATTTTGAACAATTTCGTTTGTTGCATTATTTCGTTACCCAAAATCATGTTTTTCTTAACAAATTACCTTCTAATGATTACCCCCTCATGGTATTCATTTAACGACTACGAATATAAGTTCATATCACTTCTTTCGAAATCGGTTGTTCATACAACTTAAAAGTGTGAACTACGCTTTGCATATACCGTTATTGTGGAAAGGCGTTCAACTTCTGAAGAATTTATCACGAACAAACACTTTAAGGAACAACAAACAAAACAACAATTTTTGATGATAACTACAATTTATTAATGCTTTGTTGTGAAACAAAAAACAAGTTCATATCCCTCACACTAAACTTTAAACCTATCTGCTGTGGTTATCCACCCTCTTTTGAATTGCATTCCTGAGCAGAATATTCAGCAAGCTATTCGAATGATCTTCAGGTTCAGGCACAACAGGAGGAAATGGATTACCTGAAGTTGACAATTTATATTTCATAAGTATTTCAATCGTACATCATGCAAATTACACTCCATCATGCTATTTCAATACGTTTCTCATACCTCACAACTAACACTAACTAGGGGATTGAATCTTCCAACAAAAATATCCTAGAGTGATCAGTTCCAGCGATCTAGTGTGAAGGAATCTAACTGAGCAAAATCCATTATGAGTAGGGGAGATATGTTATAGGACGTCTGATTAGAAGTAAATAACTGAAAGATGACAGTATCGATTCAAAAGATAAAAGTTGAACCTTTGAGTTCAAGGACTGCAATGTCAAAATTGCGATAGAAAACTCGTTTCTTCCGTACATATGACTCAAGACGTTCGTTTGGTAAACGATATAAATCCGTATACGGTCCTAAAAATAAGTCTCATCATGAAGAATACAAAGGGGAACCTCTTCAATAAAGCATACTATCGTTGGCGGCATGCAACCCGGTATGAAGAGTAAGCTAAGAAAAAGGAAATGAAAAAATAAATAAACAAAACAATTCATCACTTACCAGCTGGATGCTGCGCGAATCGAGGTACAAGAACATCGAAAAACTTATCACGTAGATCACCTTCGATCAACCACCAATCGACCATCTCGTTCATGTAATTATCATCTCGATCGCGAAATATTCCCAACTGTAGTAACTGAAAACAAATGTTGAATGCTAATTTAGCAGCGATAAAATTTCACTTTTACGATGATATTATTCAAATCTGAATGCGCAGTATCGTCGTTATTCAATGCACTTATTAACTTCCAATTAGATGAGGGATTTTGACAGGTTATTGATTCAACAAATTTATGTTGCAGTGCGAGTATTTCAGACGGATATATATGCAGCGATGAGCTCAGCACACCTCAAGCAGCACAATCTTGTAGATTTATCCCGATTTAGAAATAACTTCATTGTACTAGCATTAGAAAGGAACTGTAATTGAATTCATCACTCACCCTTTCCATATACTGGCGTGCTTCAACGGCACGATTCAAAGGGAATTCACATCGTTCTTCTCGTACTAAACGAGTGACTATTCGTCTGAGGATCTGAAAAAGGTTCACTAATTCAGTGCTTCTCACGTAAAAGAACTTGTCTGACTTTTTGTTCATTGCAGTTGATTTTCTATATATAAATTCGTGAGGATCACGTGATACTGATGCAGTTTAGTTTCTGAGTAGCTGAAATCATGAATACATTCTGAAGCGTGGATGTGGTATAAGATCAAAATACGGTTGAAGAAACTTAGCATATCAAGCAAAAGAAACACACCAATGTACTCGATCATGTCAACAAGGTTTCAAACAATTCTACCTTGAACATCCTGAGTATTCCTAGCTTTAAAATAATTTCAAACTTAGTCAACAGAGAATTCTTCTGTCGACAGAATGCATGACGACGAACCAAGAAGGCAACCGACCTCAAGACGTGATCGATGAGCGTTGATGCGTAAAGTTTTCAACCTTTGTGGTATATGACCGATTGTTGCGCGAATCCGCGGCAACGATGCGCTAATACGTGATGTACCCGACATGCTCTCAACAAAACGCACGAGCCCGTGCCGCAAAGCCTAGCTAACTTATAAGCCTCAATTATATGATCCACCCATACTATGTCATTGCAGCATCTCGACTGGATACCTCGACCCTATGCCACCACAAATCCTAGCCTGTCTGTGCTCTCACCTCCCATCGAAACGAGAAATGTTCGTTGCTAAAACCATGAGTGTATCGCTGAACGTCGATGGTATTTAGGGATAAGATGATGCTGTGATGGCATGCTAATCGAAAAAAATCATTCTTTTTACTGAAATTTATTTGCCCTGCAGATTGCCGATGAACAGTAAGCTGGTGAGAAATTAAATTTTTGTTGATTTGAAAACATCGACGATATGACGAACGCAGACAAGTCAGATATGATAACGATAAAGATGAGAGAATAAATGTATGAGCGAAATTGATGAACAGAGATACAGTGTATATACTTTTATAAAACTAAAGATTCTGTCGATAGTGTGAAGAAAGCACAATGTTTGGGGGCAGACCTGAGCAGCGCATTAGTTTGAAGGTCGTGACACGAATACAGTTAATGGAATGTACAGATTGGTCAATCTAGATGCAGTGCATTAAAATAAGCGCTACCGAGCAGGTGGAATATCTTCAGAAAATATACAGTATACTGAGATCAGCGCTACGTGAGGTGTCTTCCGAAAATCATCTCAACGTAAGCAAGATCACTCGACAACGCATGTAGTTTTCTGAAACTAGAAAATCTGTTAAATTCGATGGTGTGAAAAAATCACAGTGTTCCTGGACAAACCTGAGGAAAGTGTCAGTTTGAAGATGGCGCCCGGATAATGCCGCAATATTGTGTTGCGGGGATCGGGGAATTTCGGGGACCCGTCCTTAATTCCTCGTTCCCGACTTTTTTCGAGCCGATTGCACTCTCGGGGTCACGACTGGAAATTTTTTTCCTCAACTTTTTTCTGCCCCCACGGCACACTGTGCTGCATTGTATTGAAATGATCGAAATTCCAATCGAAGTAAAGAAAGAGTTTTGAGCGAAAAACGAATCACTGATTTCCTGAGGTGTTCTGTGGAAGTTCAGGACTTGATGAGAAGCCGAATTAACAGTCTTATTATTAGTGTAATTCTGGCCAGTAATGTCTTTATTCTTCTGCAAAAAACTAGTCGGATGAACATGCAATGTTAATGGAAATGCAGTGATATTTATGCATTTTTACCACTGTTCAATACATTAATCTTCAAAATGCTCAGATGACAAATGAATTAAAACCGAAAACAGAATCTGTGGGAAAAATTTTTGCAAAATATATTGATCGATTGATGAATATACTTTGTTTTGCAGGGCATAATTGTTTTTTTGTGACCAAACTGTACTTGTTTACAAGCGCTATAAAACAATAAGCAGTAAAGCTTTATCAGTTGATAAGAATAATCGTGAATGCTTCTCAATACTGTAGTATCACATTGCTACTTTTGTGTTGTATATTGGTAGGCTGATTGTATGTGCATAGTAAGATTATTTATGCACATTTCTGCAAATATGCGTCGAATTTTCATTTTGTAATCACATTTTCTCTCTTAATAATTAATGCTTGCATTCGAGTATTACTATTCAGTGGCTTCACTGAATAGTAATACTGATGGCAGAAATTCCATCAACTGTTGGTGGTAGCAAATTGAGTCCAATATGCATTGAAGTGAATAAATGATTTTTAATTAGCATTATAAATTTTCTCATTTTTGTTTCATCACTTACAAATGTACCTCAGAATGAAAGAGGTTTTAAGAAAAGATTACTTTTCTGTTTGTTGTTGAACGTGAAAAAAAAAATTCGATCGTGGCTGTGTAATAAAAAATATATTTTTACCGTACACTTCACTGTTGTCTATGATTTCTGCAGCTATCGAAGGCATTATTTATCGCGTGAATTATGGAAAATTACCCGAAATTCGCAAAGTTGGTTTGAATTTTACTTCAATTGTGTCATTGTCTAAGATTATTTACCGCACTCGCTGAAAACTTGCCAATCAAGAGAGTATTGTAGGTGAAAAATGCTTGAATAGGCATGGAATGAGCATAAAATTCAATATTCATCTTGTATGATCTCAAAAAACGAAAACAAATGAATGCTTTAGCTGCTAACAGAAAGCCAATAGTGAAAGGTTTTACAAGATCAATTTTCTTATCAGTCACCATAAAACACGTCACCATAGCATTGAACTGATTTATTTTGGTACCAATGTGCACAATATCAAATTTGCCATAAAATCATTTCTACTTGTTCAAAAATCAAATTTTATTACTCCAAATGAGCATATCATCATTTTTTTAAATATTTAGGATATTGAACAAATGAATGCAGAACAGCAATTTTGACGTATCGTTAGTGATATGAATCGGTATTTTTCACATCTGAAAAGTATTCATCGTTGTGCTATTTAGAGTCTTTCAGTTTAGTTTTATACACATAGTTGAACGTCTTCAAATTGAAAATTCCAAGTCAAATTTGAATGTTATACTTCCATTTCAAAATGAACCGATCAGCTATGTTTTGTTAATGTTCAATGTTTTTCAAACTGCAGCAGTCCATCATTCAGTAGTATATACGTTAGATGTCAGCACCATTAAACACGTTAACGTTCTGTTTGGGTGGTGGTAGGGGGTAGGAGAGAAAGATATTTTCAAACAAAGACTCATCAAAATCATGTGAAAATCTGCATGAAGAAGTGAAGGAGCAATAGATAATTTCCAGTTTGGAAAATGGATGATGATTAGAATCTGAGAATCACTAGGTTAAATCAGTGAATACTGATGTTTGCATGGTTTATTTGAACTCCTTTCTTGACTATTAAAATTTTGTTCAAGTTTCGTCTCTGAACAACTTATTCGCACATTTTCCAGAGAGATAGATGCATGCAAGGAACAATTCATCGAGCGTCTTAAAAGCGCAGTTGCTATTCCAAGCGTTTCCGTAGAGGCATGTCATCGAGCAGATGTTGTGCGTATGGTTCATTTCGTTCAAAAGGTTGTTCCTTCAACTTTTTATTCCGTTTCTTTTGTTGATTCCGTCAAATACCGATGAGTGTGTAGAAAATTGAATTATTCGAAGGAAAACGATTAAGGCTGCCAGGAGGGATAAGAAAGATACGAAAACTGCAATACAGTTACTAGAAACATTAATAATCAGTATCAATAAAAACATCGGGGTGGACTTGTGAAAATTGTGTGAAGATCAAATTATGAGCGATTCAGTTCGATCTTTTCATCTGAACGCTTATGTGGAGAAAACAAAATTTTGATGCTTTATGAGTACAGGAACTCGAGAAATTGGGTGCAAAAGTGGAGCTGCATGAGTCTGGCGAGCAGGTAATGCCAGATGGTACTCGATTAGAACTGCCTCCGATAGTGTTCGCAACGTTGGGTCAAGACAAGTCGAAGAAAACTTTGCTTGTCTACGGGCATTTGGATGTTCAACCAGCTCACAGAGAAGACGGTTGGAAAACGGAACCGTTCGAACTTGTGCAGAAAGTTTGTTGCTAGATGTGGTTGTATTGCAACTGCACTCTTTCTTTTTATGGCTTGCAGTAAGGAAGTTTTCAAAAATTTCTTTGGAACTGCTTCCGCTGCTGAAAGAATTTTTCGATAATTTGGTGAGGGTATGATCGATGCCATACACGTTTTCTGATAGACGAATACATTTCTTACCGATCTCAGCACTTAATCTCCAGTTTTTGAAGTTCTTTCTTAGTCTTAATTCACCTTATGCCATAATGAAATGAAATCGTTCATTTAGGAATCTCTCACCTATCACCGTTCTTTTAAGAAAACATCCATAAATTCCTTCTCTAGCAAAAATTCCCTCCTGTTAGAATCACAGCTGTGAAAATGTGGTCTCTTTATGCATCAATAATACATTCTGTTAAGAAATTATGTCTAGTTCCTGAAATGCTGAATTTCCAGCGGTCTGCTAAACAACTATAGGAAAATCAGAGCTATCATTTTGGAATAATTTGTATGCTCAGGTTTAACCTCGACCAAAGAAGTATTTTCACAGCAACAAAATCGGAAGATTCTCAAATATCAGAAAAGTGTGCATGTTGTCGTGGAATTTCGCCTAATTTTTAAGATACAATTGAATTTTCAGCGGTATTTCACATGACTGATTGAATGCATTCTGCCACCAAACTCTACATCAGTGATTCTCATTTTCTTGCTCTTCATGCCTCTTTGCGAGAAAACAGAAAAAAATCGCAAGTCTCGATCCTTTTTTCCAAAGAATTTTGCCGTCGAGAATTCGTCAGTGATGTGGAGCGATTAAACCAGCATTTTCAAAACATTATTGAACAGTCGTAAAGGCATTATGGCAAAAAAATCAAGTGTACAATGATGTACCAACATACATCGTGGACATCTTCCCTCCACCTAAATTCCTCCTCAGCAAAAGTTCCTTCCTACTGCCTTACTGAGATACTTTCACATTTTAATCGCAACAGTTCAAAGTGTGAATTTTGCTTCAGGATAATAAGTTATTTGGACGAGGCTCAACTGATGATAAAGCACCTGTAATCGGCTGGATTAACGCTATCGAAACACTTCAAAAGTTGAAAATTCGAATCCCTGTCAACATTAAGGTATCTGAGTTCGTTTTCCTAACCTTTGCTTCAGCGGTGACAAAATTAATTTCACTACTGTAATCTCAAATGAAGAAGAACAATCCCGTATCATATCAGTACTTGAATTTCGTAACATAGATAATCTCAAATTCTATTTTCTTAGTATCTTAGCTGAACCCTTTATATGACACATGAAAAATGCACCAGAAAATAGTTACTTTCGTAATTCATAAACCGACCGATTTATTCTCAATATGTCATTGGTGTAATCATCATTTTGAGGCTTCTCAAATTAGAACCATGATTATGGGCAATACATCATTTTTTCGAACGACTTTCCCATCCAAAAAAGACTATGTCACATTTTGATCGATTCACTTCAGTTTTGTTTCGAAGCAATGGAAGAGAGTGGTTCAGAAGGGCTTGAGGAAGCATTACGGGCCAGAAAAGACACATTCCTTAAAAACGTCGACTTTACTTGCATATCCGATAATTATTGGTTAGGCAAAAATAAACCAACCATCACATATGGACTCAGGTAACGTAAAAAATAGGAATCTTATAAGCTTCACAAAATTGCTTTTCTTTTCAACATTCCTAAAGAGTATACATTATTAATCTACTGAACAATTTTCGACTTCACGAGTTTCTGAGTAGGCAGCAAATGAATCAAGCTAAACGAGACAATTTCTTTGAACTCCACCTTATATCAGAATAATGATCGTTCAGCTTCAAATTCCCAATCGGTGATTATTATTTCAATCTTTTTCATTCACACTCCGATAATAGTCAGTTACCGTCCTAAAGAAGAATCAGTTTTTTTTTCATTTCAGAGGTGTTTGCTATTACTATATGGAGATCACTGCCGTTCACCAAGATCTACACTCTGGCGTATTCGGTGGTGTTGTGTTAGTATTCCAGCCTTTAAAAAAAAAAGAGCTAATTTAAAAGACATCAGCAGTTAGAAGCACTGAATTATACTTAGACAGAAACGTCAAAATGTGGTGCAATCATGAAAGGTTTTCTCGCTTGCTTGATATCTACAATTTAGCATTGCAAAACTCTGGAATGTACAAGAATGTACTGGTGATTCTTGGCCAATTCGCAGAATGAGCTTTTTTTGAGGCAGTAATGGAATTTATTCGCGCGTGATCCTCATTTAAAGAATCTTTCCTTCATCTAATATGTGCTGGAGAGATTTTTTAAAAACCTTGATGAGTTTAGCTACGAACCAATGGCAGATGTTGCATGGATGATGAGTCAGTTAAGTGATGTAAACGGAAACATCAAAATTGATGGTCTTCTTGATCTAGTAAGACCCCTGACTGACGAAGAGCACAAGCATTATGAGACAATCGAGTTTGATCAAGTGAGTTAATTTAAGACGTGTTTGATGTGCAGCATTTGCTTGGTGTATTTTGCACTTGAACAATCCTTTGATCGTGAAAAATGTTCAGGAAGATTTTCGTCGAGGACTCAATGCACCGAAGCTGCAAAAAGAAAAGAAAGCCGATATTTTAATGCACTTATGGAGGTATCCTTCACTTAGCCTTCACGGTAAAAGCTTCGCTTATTTGTGTCACTTTTTGCTGTTCGTTTAGCGAACACAACTTCTAAGCCATTTTTGATCTGATTATGAAAATCAAAGTCAACTCATCCCGACAGATCTCTCTCGGAATTAAACTTTTTCTGAGTCGAATATTATTTAGATTTGAGGTTGGATACATCGATTTCTGAATTTTTTTCTTCAGTCTCGTATTTCATCAGTAATCATCGACAGTGTAATCTAGTAATAATCTATAATTCGCCTGCATAATAGTGTTGATTTCATGCGTTTTGTAATTGTTTTCAACTTGTTATTCTTGGCACATTTATGGAGATAAATCGAATTAATTGATTTGTTGGTAAATAAAGGTATCGAAGGAGCGTTCAGCGGAGCAGGTGCGAAAACAGTTATACCAGCAAAGGTGATCGGTAAATTCAGCATTCGTATAGTGCCCGATATGTTACCTGCTAAAGTCGATAAACTTGTTCTGCATCATCTTAACAAACTTTGGCACGAGAGAGGATCGCCCAATCACTTCAGGTTATTCGTATTTAGATTCTCTTTTTTTTCGCGTTCATCACTGTGCATTATTCTCATTTGTAAATGCAAAAAAGTAAGTGGATAATTCGTTATACAAGTCAGTGAGTACCTTATCATGTTAGATGGAATTCAGTTCATTAACTGCTTCGAAATGCGGTGTTCTATTGATCTTGGTTACGAGTTGCACATCCACTTCAGTGGTATTTTTATTGGAACTGCTCGCTATAATTCTGTTTGCAGAGCATTCAGTCATCATTCGGGCGATTATTGGCTATCAGATTTCAAACATCCGCATTATCAGTGCGGCGTTCGTGCCACAAAAACCGGTTGGCATATTCAAATGTTTAAACTTTTACGATTATGATGTTTTTAGATGAGCTGCGAAGAGAATAGGATCATTCTACTATGACCTTGATAGCATTATCTTCGTCTCCTCATTGATATTGTGATAAATTAGGATGCGAATCACTGCGCGTGAAATTTTGCTATATCACTAAACTGAAAATTTAAAATGAAATAAAATATAAATTCAAATAGTAAAATATAAATTCATGGGCATAAAAAATGATACCGTATTATGAAGAAGTTTCGTAAATTAATAAATATTTTGCGAATTATTTCCTGTTATTGAGAAAGTGATAGTCGAAATTTAGCGTCTAAATTATACGCTACATATATTACGCTGCTCAGTCAAAAAGTATTTAACGTATCAATTTGTGCACACTCGAAATTATCACATCACTATTAATTACTCTTGAAAGATGTTGGCTGAATGCAAAAACGAGACGACTTCGTTGGAATCAAAGTTTCATCATGCTACAAGCACACAAAAAATACCGCAAACCGTTCATAAGGCAATTTCATGCAAAAGTGCATCAAATTCATACAGTGTGAACTACGAAACAAGAGAAGTCGGAAGTGCTGGCAAATAATTGCTATTATACAAACAACTCGTTAACAACATTTATGAATATGAGTGTATCAAGCTGACGATGATATTTTGTGCGATTTTCAGTGTACAACGTTGAACCGGACTTCATCCGCGAGGGTGGCAGTATACCGATAACGTTAACCTTCGAAGAACTGACTGGCAACAACGTAATGCTGCTTCCGATGGGTGCCAGTGACGATATGGCACATTCAATAAACGAAAAAATAAATATCAGAAATTATATCGAAGGCACTAAACTTCTTGGTGCATATCTTCTGGAACTTGGCTCTCTTTAAATGATTCCCGTTGCCGTCATTCTATTGTTGTCATTTTTTCAAGTGTTCTTAGTTCAGTGACTTTTTGTTCTATGTTTTATGTATTGTAGGGCCGTTTGTTTGATATTGCTGAGTCATGTGTTCATCTCTTTTTTTAAAGTGTCAATTAAATATAGAGCAATATTGCAACGGGCATTTACCATTTTGTTTTGAAAGTGAACAATTGTTTTGTTTGGTGTGCGTAGTGGAATGCTTTATCACATTCGTTGAATCGACTGAAGGTAGATCTTTTATAAATTTACATGAACCATGCAGCGGTTACTCGCATAGCTTGTAGATTATACATATTCAGTGCTTACAGCCAGAATGTTGAGAGTGCAAACAGTGATTTTTAGACCGCACACATGGATCAACGATATGTAGTGGTTCTTTTTTTTTTGAAAGTTATCCAGCTTTGGATGGAATGTATCATCACTTCAGCTGAGATCAGTAGTTCGTTCTTCGAACAGCAATAGCACAGAACTTCGCCTGGGCTAAGTTCAGTAAGGTTAGAAACCATTATCCTCGTTCCAGGGGAGACCTTTTGTTGGCTCATTTCATATCTTTGTACGAATCAGTTAGCGTTCATTTCTAAACAAGTAGAATTTCAATGGATAGTAATTACTAACAAGTGTGCATTAATCATACTTAGCATCAACAACGCACACCAGTAGTGAAAATGAAATTGGAGATCAAAAAAAAAAAAACTGATGAAGGGACAATATGAATTGTACATTTCGGATCGGAATTATTCATTTTTAACCGATCAACCGTCTTTCGCTAAAAATCGTTTTTGAGCAGTCACATTCAACTATTTCAGTGGTCGATCTCGATGATTTAGCCAACCAATCACAAGCAATTGATCTGCCAAAGGATACTGATGAACGGAAGTGCTCCGTACTTATGCACTGCGAATGAAAAGCAACTATTCAAATGTGAAACTAAACCACAAAAGCGCAAGTATTCAGAACGAAAAAATATATTTAGAAACATGCAAACAAGCGATCATTACTTTTTTATTGGTAAGGGTCGTACAATTGATTCTATTTATCGTACAAATTGATAATAAGATTTGTAATAATTGTTCTAATTCACATCCATTCATCACAATCAAAACGATGCTACTGATTACACATCTTCATTATTCGAAGGATTTTGCGCTAAATTGACATCGACATCGTCTGTGACTGCAACGAGCTCACGTTCATTTCTTTGCTCTTTATTTCGTTCCTTCCATAACATGAGCATAATTGCAATGAAGCATGCAATTATGCTGGCAATACCGAAATAAGCAGCCACACCGAATGCCATCACAACTCCGTATCGGTCAGCCAGCTTACCTAAACAATATTCATTGGCCTTTTAATTCACTCAATTACGCTATATAAAAAAATGAATGGTTAAATTTCTTTTGTCCAGCTCTCTTTTGATCATTGTTTGAATGAGAATCGAGCCTCCACCTGATTAACTGTAACCGTGTGCCTAAGCCCGTATCTGACCAACCACATAATCAGATTTTCCTAATTAAACATCGAGTGGTCAGAAAACGCGCATAGTCAAAAACGGTTTGACTGTTTTCATTTGAACTGGAACAGCTTTTTATAAGGTTGGGTGATTACTGCATAAAAACTGATTGTTCAAGTGAAGTACCGTTGAGAGTGGTTATATTGACTGTGATCACAATAAACTGATTGAGTGTTGTTGATAGCTTCAAAATGACAGTCTTAAGTCGGCGATGTTTTTTTTAATGGAATGAATAATTATTGGATAATATAATAAACTGTCTGCACAGCAATGTAATAAACTGTCTGCACAGCGACGCATTGCAGACAGTTATGTTTTTGATTTTGATAATGATTTGGGTTCTGTTGCAGTGAAGCGGCACACACAATAAGGCAGCATAAAATAGAACTGCTAAATTGATTTGACATATAATCAAATCAAAAGTGACGATCAAGTCACTCGGGAATGTGATTGCAATTGACCGTTGAAGAAATTAAAGTGATTAACCAATGAACATGGACACGAAGCCGGCCAATCCATTGATGAGATTCGTGTATCCGAATGCAGTTGGTAACTGTTCTGGACCTGAGATATGCAGTAGAAAAGGCGTTAACGAAACCGAATACATCCCAACGCCGAAGCCTGATAGAATATTTTGTGCTATGAACTGAAATTTTGGTTCGTTATTTTCTTTGAAAGAACACTCTCATTATTTATGCAAGAAAACGGGTTTCTACCAGAAAATTCCATGCGGTATTTGTACAACAATCAACAGCAACAAGTGATTTTCATTCAAAATCGCATCACCAATAAGTACATCAAATGCAGCTGCCGATAGTTTTTCAAACTAAAAATCATGTTATAAGAGTGCAGCATGCCTGTTGAAATGAGGATGAATCGCATACGGAAGTGCATGCAGACGGAATTGAGATGGTTATCTAATGTGCATCAGAAACTAATAACCTGTGGATAGTTGGTACAGAAAATCGCTGAAAAGATACTGCCTTGTGCGATGCCATAACACATTAGCATCATCAGACCAATATGTAGAGAGGTGATACGGATTATGAATGTGGCTGTAATGCGGCCAACAATTGATGCAATACCCTGCGAACTGAACACATACGCTGCAGTATCCCTTCAAAATGATAGACTCAAATGTTTGAGAGTGTACTTCTGGATTCTTCTTTAATTTGGTTCAATGATTGAGAACGAGAATCTGCTGCGGAAATTTGTTGAGTAGTTTGTTAAAAGTTTATTTGTAATGAATGAGTATTAATGACACCTGTCAATGTCTCGCTCCACCATAAGAGGTATTTCAAAAATGTAATATGAGATGCAAAGACTGGCTGCAAAGAAGACGGCCACTAAATGGATGAGAAACTCCGGAATCACGAGAACCTTAACAGGAATTACAAGGTATTTTTGTTTATCAGGTGTTTATGGCTAAATTATGAAACTATTCGTAATGTTTACTCTAGTTAAATGTTAAGAAGTTCGATGTTTCGTTTGATCCTTTTCACAATTATTATCAGTCTCTTTAATAGATTACATGTAGATCATATGCAGCTATAATACTGCCAGTCTTTATTAGCACATTAAAATAAATAGAAATAGTCTGTTTTGGACGCTTTCAAGTATACATCATGACAGAAAAAATTTATGATAGGAGTCGTAAATGAGTGAAATGGTTAATTGAAAATGCAGGATGAAAACACTAAACAAACTTCATCAAGCATACTTTGATACCAAGAAAATATGAGAATTCATTGTGATCGCTTCTTTTCATTTTGCGCTTGATCGGGAATGCAAGCGCAATACAGCAAACGAATATAACTGCTATGATCCTCCAAGATGCTCTCCAGTCCAACTGTAAAATTATTGTAATAATGATTGTGATCAATATTTAAGAAATTATGAATGCGAATTATTTCAAATCACTTTCTGTTTGCTCTTGAATTAGACTTATTTGAGGACGGTGGGGAGGAGGGAGGAAGAGATACTGACTGAACCTACTTGGGAGATAAGGAGGTACATTTTCACAAGGGATAAGTTATCTCCTAAGGGGTTATTTGGGGGCATCAGGAGGTAATTGACGGTACGAATGAATGAAGTTGTTGATAAATTTCAAGTTTTTCATCGCTGATTAATTTTCGTTGCTTTTCGTTATTTATTGCTGAGATTTATATTCTTTTTGTAACTGTGATAAACAAAGTCCTGAAAATACTTGTTCCATTTCAGAAAATTAATTTCTTTCACGCCACCGAGGATTTTCTTGGCTGATTTTCGTTTTGTTATGCGCGGAAATAATAAATTTTTGTAGTGGTGGAGTGAAGATGGGGTCATTGATGGCTTGCCAGACCATCGAAGAGGGCAGTGGAGCTTCTAAGCGTGAGAAACACTGGACTTGGAAGAATTGTGATAGTTATGGTAAGTCGATAGTGGTATCTCACCCAGTTATTTAATCGATTCAAAATTTGTGCGAATAGGAATTGACCTATACCAGGTCCAACAAAAATAAACGCCATCACAAAGTTACGATTCTTCGAAAAATATTCGCATTGAACCGAAACGATTGCGGTTCTTATCGTGCCACAGCCAACACCTGAGCAATAATCAACGAGAAACATTAGTTACAATATTGTGGAATGATAATCATGCATCCTCTGAAGTGATTCATTCAAATGTAATTAAATGCAAAAGATTGTTTCGCTGTAACCTACACGTACCAATGACAAGCGCAGTAATGATGATGAAGATAATTGAAGAACTGAACGATATTAATACAAATCCCAATGCTGCCATTATTGCACCAGCAGATATGTTTAAGCGAGCACCATAAAGTCGATACATGAAAGATGAGACTGGACCTAAAAATAACGCTACTTGATCATTTGTAACAGTTACAGAAAGTGGTTGTAATCAAGCGTTGCTAGTTTCTTGTGATATCAACCTGCTGGAATGAAGGCACAAAATAAATGCTTATTAGCAATACTACCTGAAATGAGACTTGCTGCATTAATGACGGCAATAATAGTTGAGAATGTGCCTTTGGAGCACATCAATTCCTGTTGAAAAGAGTTGAAATAGATGACAAGCATTGGTCGAATACCGCTCTCGATGAGCAGTATCAAGAAACCGTTGACTGCAACCCACCAATAAGAACGCGATTCGCTGTGAATCGCTTTTCCTTCCATCATTCTATTCATGAAATATGCTTTTGTTTTCATCGATCACAAATGCTAAGAACATATTTGAAACGCACGAGAATACGCTTTCATTCAACAAATATTCTGGAAAATTTAAAATTATGCACAGTTATTTCAACTATGATTTTGATTTGATAAGCCCATAAAGCAGTGATCTTTGGCTGATTGCGAGAAAACGCAATGTATTCAAAAATTTCCGATCAACAAATCAAAATGTAATGCAAAGATTCGAACGCATTTACGGTACATGTACAAGCGATCATTTTCGTGATAAAATTGATCTTCATACAATTTACATTCACTTGCAAGACAACTGTATTCTACCATTTTTATAGCTGTTTACTTCCAACATAAAATATTCAAAATTGCAATAATTATCAAATCTATAAGCAAAAAGTAATAGTATTTCAAAGATTCCAGTACACTTAATCCAGAATCTTTTGGAATCATAAGTTGTACGTACCCTTCTCATATCATATGTAGCGCGAGCGGACATAACTGAGGTTTGCATAAAATCGCAGTTGGAATTCAGCACGATATTTATTCTCTCAATTCTGGATGATCAACTAGAGAAAAAAGAAATCGAATAACTTTTGTAATTGCAATAAAAAGGGGCGGATCAACGCTCGTAGTGAACAAATAAACAATCTCCATGATAAACTCAGTGCAATAAAACGTTAATGATATGATAATAAGGACACAAATCGCTTTAAATGTTTCATTCAAGCGCCATATTCAGATGCTTATGTTTTTTTTAAAAATACGGATGATTATATTCGAACGATAACAGACAAATATGTTTGCATCAAAGTATTTTGATAGCAAATGCACAGCATTAAGAATTTAAAGCATTTCTTAACAAACCGTTGATGTATGATGTCTTCGAATGTTTTTATTTAAACCCGAATGGTTTCTCTCCCTTTATGACATTTATTTGCAAGCAGATTTTTCAAAAATTACCTTAACAATTTCATGCTATTCCAGCTGAATTTAAACCGTATTTCAGTTAGAAGCACTGATCGTATTTGTGCTCTGTTACGAGTTGCATACTAAATATATCTTTTATTAATTTTTTCCACGATCTTCGCACGTAAATACAGACGTCGAAATGCATTAAATGACAGCAACCCATTGATAATAAGCAATTAATCGAATCGAGTTGACGAAAATACCAGAATTTAGTTCTCGCCGATACAGCATCTAGCCGTTATCAATCTGAAGAATTTTGTAAAAACTAAGCTTGCATCATTATCAAAAATATTTCTAATCAAAAATCGATTGATGACTTAGTGACAGAATTTCAAATTTCTACTGATCAATCAATTTCTAACTATACAGTGCAATTAATTTGAATCATAAAAAAGGAAGTACACAAAAACCAAAGATATTCAATTTTTATTCAACATGAAATTGCACTTTTGATCACACATGACTGCATAAATTGCACATCCTCAGTTATGGAATACGAATTATTCCTACAAATAAATCAAAAAATATTCACGAATCGAGATAACTAGTGAGCATAGAAATGAAATGCGAGACAACAGATATGACTTGCGCATATATCGAATCGTACAGAAGATATCTCAGATCTTCAAGCGATCGTAAAATTACAAAGAAAAACTTAAACTGAGCTAGACATTCCCTAAACACAAAACCAAAGCTCACAGAAAGGAAATCCTGACGAAGGAAGCGAAAAAATCACCGCTATAAACATAAATCAGAACAGATAAGTAAGCACGTTATTAAAATATGAATCAATCCTCACACAATTTCTTCATAATTATCTCATAATCTAATCACAAGACTTTCGAAAAACATATAGCAATGTCAAAAATTGAATTAATCGCACACAGAAAATCAGGTTCTACTGAAGCATCTACAACTAATAAGAACACATTATCAAATACAGGTAGAAATCAAATGAAAGTGAGAATATCTGAATTGACAACTTCAAAATGTATTCCAAATTAGATAAGCCTTTTTTTGGGGGGAGGGAAAGGAACGGGATAAATATATAACGAAGTGAAGAATTACATTTGCAAAACAATTTGAATAAAATTCAAAGAACAACAACATAGTAATAAACCAGCTTTCGGAGTGTCAAGGGGTAACTGAGGGAGTCAGCAAACTAACATTTCGTGGAGTACTTGTTTTATTCTAGAAAATTAATTTCTTTTACGATACCGAGGAGTTTCTAGGCCGGTTCTCGATTTGCTGCTGATTTATGCGTGAAATAGTAAATTCTTGTAGTGAGGGAGGAAGGGGAAGAGGACAGAGGGGGGGGGGAGAGGTAACGACTGATTACCAGACCATCGGAGGGGGTAATGGAGCCTCAAATTGTGAGAATCACTGTCATGAACTATCTTCCCGTTTATGATTACCTATGTACATCAAACTTTTCTTATTTCAACATCAAACATTTGGATTGAATTCATTTCTTTCGAATGATTGCTTTCAATCAAAAATGATGATGAAACATTCACTATTACTGGATTATTTTTGAAAAAAGTTAACGATAAAACATTTAAATAAATAAATATTTCGCTTAAATAAATATATTATAGAATAACCGTAATAATCATTTATGATGATTAGGAACAAACACAACGATCAAGGAAATGATATGAACTAATAAGAATGTATGAAGTGATGATTGACAATAAGCTACAATGCACCCTGAGCTAACGAAACGGAAAAATTTTCAAAAAAAAAACCTTTTGACTATGTTTTCCGAGAAATTGAGCGTATGAATGAAAATATAAACAATACAATCGAGCTGAATGGCCAAACCAATCACAAGGAGACTGACCAGCCATATTCGGTCAAAGGTTAACGGAATACAATTGTTAAAAAATGAGCGTAAGTATCTATCCACATGTTTATATTAGCGTTAGTTTGTATCATTTTACATGATTGTTTGATATCAGAAGTGAATAACAACACAAGACTAGAGAATTATTAGTGAAATATTATTCAATCATTCTTAATAAAAATTTCACTGAAGATAACCCAATTCGACGAGTCGTTGTGTACGACAATTTTCAACGAATCAATCAGTGCAACATCATTACCATCAAATGAAGCACGTGCTGTACCATGCTCGTTGAACGACGTTATACGTTCAAAATCTTTCGAATTTTTTCTGTGTAAATAAACAACTGCGTTTTCATTCAAAATATCACGCTGATGCTCCCCATTTCCCGTTTTGAACAAGAAGCCTGAAAAAAGAACGACTTCATGACGTTATCAGGAAATGGAACGAACGGTTAGACAGTCAACACTATCCAATTACTTTGTGGATTTGACTAGAAGATTCAATTAACGAAAATCGAAAGCAGAAATGAATTGAGAATAGAACTGAAATGGAATGGATAAACGTCGTGCAGATTATGCCTGCCATTAGAACCACTCCATCTCGATCCGCTACCTACCATCAGCAATGTCATCAATTAAAATAGTCCAATCGTTCGTACACGATTCAAGCTGCGATTGAGATGCTTTAAAAGATAACCTCGCAGTTTGATAGCCGGCTTAAAATCAAATGAAATATGATCATCCGCATGCGGAGCCAATGACCAAAAGAAGTTTCGCCCATTATAAGCGCCTTCAATGTCTGGAATTTGATTACTTTCAAACTGCTGCGGGAAAATAACAAACTTGTTTGATCCAAACGATCTGAGAGATCAAGAAATTGTAAACATCAATAAGTAGCGAACAAAGATAAACCAACCGTGAGATTTATAAGTGACCAAATTAGTAGTTACCACAGCCGGTGGATTATTTTCATGGGGAACATAGAGTTGCACTTTACCGAAATCTTGTTCCCGGAGTTTCTGCAGTTTACCAGCAAGTGAAGAGTGGACACCGATATGTTGAAATAACGACGGTCTTGCCCTGACACGATATTGCTTTACTGCCTTCAAAATCACGGCCAGCAATCACAACTAGTCCAAATATTGAATGAGTTTTAATTGACAGTCTTTCAATAACTTCAAATTCATTTTGGGATGATTGGATGACAAAACACATTCGATAATGGCATGCAAGTTGAAAATTCCGATCAAGTAAAACAAATTAATTGATAATTATGACGCAAAATCGAAAAGATAATTTTGATTAAACTGATCGAATTTTAAAGATAAACTCATCGAAACATGCAGGAAAGGAATTCAGTTTCGCAAAACACACTTAAAAACAAATACGATTTAATATAGTATCTCCGCTGCTAACCAACCTGACTACATTCTTTCGATGATTTTTCTGGGTGACAATAACGATTGACAAATATTAAGTCCAATAGCCAATCAACCGGCTTCGCACGGTGAAAGAGTACAATAAATTGCGTTAGTAGCGGTAAATCGGAAGAGCGAAATAGTTTACCAATAAATCCAAGTGTCGAGAATTCTAGCATAAACCAAGAATCACTGGGTTGTTGCGCGATAAAATCGTGGATACGAGACATAAAACCCGGTTTTGTGACGACGTCGTCTTCCAGTTGCAGATAGTATTCGCCTGAAATATATACACTCTGTTATACCCGCTATATATAGTAACCAACATTGACTACCTTAACTATTGTCGAAATACAACCATGATAAGAAATATTTCCTCAGCCTCTTTACACTATTCGAACTAACTTGTAGAACCGATCGATGAATTCAGTTCACCATCGCTTAACGTTTATCCTTATTTAGAGAGATTGCGATAATATTTTAAACATCAGTGTCAAAATTTCATTGATACATCTATTTGGGTATGATAGGTGCTATCGAACCGGGATCTAATTAGATGTATGCGAATACAAATTTAGAAGTACTTTGTTCCAAATGAACATTAATACAGGATCATACACAGGTGATACATGATAAGAGTTGGATTATTATTGCATTGGATAGTTGAAATGAATAGCGGTATGAGAATATGATATTAACAAGAAGTATCTAACAAGCAACCTTTTCCTTGACAATAAAGCATCAAAAAAATGTAATCGAGATTTTGTTTCGTTCGCCAATACACACGCTCTTCAGAGTCACCGAATGTTGCGGGTACTGCATGTAAATCTGGTGGATACCAACTGTGAGGTGGAACGATTAGCTGCAAATCGACAGTTCGTTTCATGACTAACGGGAGCGGTTATTTTTTTAGTACCGTGTAACGAAAACATCAATCTCTTATTATGTTTTCTTATTGATAGCTTTAAAAAGCTATTTTACCACTCTCACTGTTATGAAGTATTTAGCTAGTTTTCATTGAGAGATTATTCTACTTTTTCTTGCGGAACCTTAAAACTTATTCCAATAATACGCAATCCCACCCTGAGCAGGACGATCATTACGGCAGGTTTTGTCCCCCGTAAAGACTGAAATAGCTATGGTCTTATAATGTTGTTCTCCTACTCAAAACCTCGCAATATTATCACAGAGTGAATATCGAACGCAATCAAAAGCGATCATTTAACAGTGCAATCCGAAATGAAACCAATCCTCTTACATAAAGTAAACCTGATTCGAGATCGGTCGCGAATTCAGACTGAATGCTATGTAACTGTTCGTTGACGAACTGTGAATGTGCACCGTGCTCGTCGGCAATTAGAACCACGATCAGAGTGGCAGCCTTCTCTTGCGCATTCATTCCCGAGATCAATGATTGTAATGTTGGTATGAGATAAGAAAACTGCAACATTTCATTTTCAGAATTACTAGATACTAGTTAATAAACGCTAGCCAAATGCAAACGTACGAGCATCATTAGATGAAACATAACAATGCTACTATATCATATACGATACATTCACATCTATCTCCGGATTTTCAAACGGATGAAACGAGAAATAAACTACTTACGTTTTGTCGAGCAACTGTTGGTATGCCAATCACAACTTTTGCAACGGTTGAGAATGTATCATTAGGATAGATAACTGCCGGACGAAGTGCACTTGGTGATCTTGCATAGAGATGCGGTAGAAAATCAAAAAAGGATGGAAAAGAGATCGTCAATTGTGGCTTGAAATATTCGACATTTATTGTTTCAAAGCGATTTTGAACTAACAATGGAGCAACAACAAGTTACTGTGATTTATTAAAGTTCGTTGAAACTTCATATCTCTCCTTTTGCTTCATTTACATACTATTCCACTAAAAGATCTGGAAACGTTCCTTCGAAGTTCCACACTGTGAACTCAAATTATATTCAGTACGGTATCCATAATTCAACAAAAGTGTTACTAACAATGGGCGTTTCATTTAAGCACAAAGTCACTGAGTTCTTCAGTAAAAAAAGTTCGCGATCACGATCGGTCAACCGACGCCAGACCTAAATTGGAATGCTGTCATTTCAATAAACTACGGAAATATTCAGATCCACTATTATTACGAAGAGTTGTGGCTAATGAAAATTGAAATTCAGAATAAATTAATTGGATGGAAATCATTTTGTACGTTTGCAAGCATACCTCGGGTTATGTCGCTTCGATTTGAGTCGTTCTCGATTATACTCGTTTGTCAAACTTTTTTTAATGCTATATTAAAAAATAAAATTTATTTGTTGGTAAGCTTGAAATAGATTCTCATTGACCATACATTATTAAAAATGCATTTATAAATTAAATACAGTACTGGGGATGGTTAATTGAAGTTTAGCCCAGTGACAAGCAAATTCGACTTAAATCATTTTTTGATTTAAATCGTCTCTCCTGGAACCAGTTACCAACGTAAGGTGAGGTATACTTGTAAACGAATGCTCATTAACAACAAAGTCTTTGCTTTTCAAAAATTGTTTGTCTCCGATTGAACACAAAAATGGACGATTTCAGAGCAAATAGAAGAACAGGATGGAGCATTGCAGAGAAAGATAAAGAGGTTGACAGTAGAGTGACATTATGGATCGAGTGCAGTAACAAAGGCTGAAGTTTTCGTTAAATGTGCAAACGGAATTGGCACTGATGATCATTAACAACTGGGCAAAGAGATGTATGGATCCAGTGGTACAGCTCAAAGTTAAAACAAGCGATCACGGTTAGCTAAGAATAAGCTGGTTAGACCAGATACGCATGATTACTGGACAAACTTGAATACAATAAGCAGATGTCAGAATCGTGGTGAAAATTTATGTGGTTTTGAAGAGATATGCGCATCAAGACATGCTGGATAAATATACGAATAAATCTGTAATCAAATTTAAAAAATAAATAAATTATCAAACCTGATGTATATGTTTCTCTAGAGTTTGAATACGGTTTTCGCTGTTTGCACGATATTCATCAAAAGATCTCGAAAAAATCACGCCTGCATAATAATAAACGAAGACCCAGCTCAAGAGTGTCAATACCACCTGAACGCACGACCACCTCCTTTGTACAAATTTCACAAACATAGCATACCACAATCTTTCGCCGAACAAGACATTCGACGAAACGTGAACTGGTCACATCAATAGTTCACAACTTTGCAGGGCAATCTGCCACAAGGCTCTCGTTATCTGTTCAGATTTCATAAACAGTAGCTTCAACGGCTAATTTCTTGAGCTTACATTAACGGATTGAAGCGATCAGATTTCCGTGGTACGATGAAGTGCCTCACTTTGAGTTTGTTTCTTTGAAGTGCTCTTGCAACTGAACCGCACCACGCACACGGTTGGTTGAACTGATGGACGTTTGTTCTCAGCCTTGAAATATGCAGCAATAATAAGAGCAGTTTCATAATCGAAGCAATTATGAAACTGCTTGACGGTTTATTTGTGAGAATGAAGCGAAATCAAATATCAGCTGTCCACACTGTTAGTTGAATATCCAAACAGATGGATGTGATCGAGTACAATATCTGAATAGACTTAAACCAATCTCGAGTAGCGCATAAAATAAAAGCACCATCTAATTCAATGTCGGTACACGACCATTTACAGCAAGTATTATGTGTTACAGATTGAAATCAGAAATTCAGCGTAACGAGCACAAAGAAAAAGCAGGGGATCTGAATTTGTAAAAGCAGCTATGAAAATTAAGGACATTACGAATGAAACAATAAACCAGCAAAGCAGAAATGCTATGTAATGTTTGACTGCCATAGCCGGAAAGGTAATAGCCAAAAGAGAGAACAATTTAGCACTGTAATGTATATAATATGTGATACGGAACATCAACTTCCTTAAAAACATGATCGGCTGTATAAGCTCGCAGGATAGGCTGTCGGATAGAGGAGGATTGAAAAAGCAAATATATTGTTCACGGATATGCCTACTGTCACAGTCATAACTAGCATCCACTGTACCGTTCAGCGCTAGTTGAAATAGATTTAATAAAATAGCTATACCTTCTCAACTAATTGTAAGAGAAATCGCCCAACAAAATATAAATTTTTCTGAATGCAGAGATTTTGCTCAGTCGAATGGTGTGAAGAAATTGATATGTTACTGGTCAAAGCTACGAGTACGGTATGTTTGAATGCGCAAGCCCCTATACCATCAGATAAATAGCCATGTCTCCTCACAGAGGCGGAATTTTCCAATGAGTTTATCAATTTTAGAAAGCAGAGATTCTGCTCGATCGAATAATGTACGAACATCAATATGTTCCGGGCAAACTTGAGAAGACGGTAGGCTTGAATGTATCAAACCCATATTTCTTTAGTGATGTATAACATGCACTGATCTGTAGTGATCAATGAGCACCTCACCGCTAGTTGAGATAGCTTTAATAAAATAGCTATACCTCCTCAACGAAGCGAAATCGCCCAACAAAATATATACATTTCTGAATGCAGAGATTCTGCTCGATCGATTGGTGTGAAGAAATTGATATGTTACCGGTTAAAGCTGCGAGTACGGTAGGTTTGAATGTGCAAACCCCTGTAGCATCAGAAAAATATCTCTTTGTCCTCGCATAGGCGGAATTTTCCGGTGAGCTTTTCATTTTTAGAAAGCAGAGATTCTGCTCAATCGAATGATGTACAAACATCAATATATTTCCGGGTAAACTTGAGAAGACGGTTGGCTTGAATGTATCAAACCCATATTTCTATATTAATGTATAATAAGCATTGATCTATAGTGATCAAATGCATATCAATGAGCACCTCACTGCTAGTTGAGATAGCTTTAATAAAATAGCTATAACTCCTCAACTAAGCAAAATCGCCCGACAAAATATATATTACTTGGCGAACAGCCGTTCTGTTCGTACGTGGCGAACTGTGCGTACACCGCTGATTCGTCATATCAATGCAGCGGATCTACGGCAAATCCGTCCGCGACCAATCCGTACTACGTCATTTTGAAGCGCATAGTCGGTCAGGAAACTTCGTTTGGGTTCGACTTTTGAGCAATGCGTAAGCATGTTCACCGTTATGTGCTTTAGTTATAAAACGCGTATTACTCGATATATTACGATCTGTTATATTCATCATGAGTACGATCGCTCCTGCAAACAATCAGCTGAACTGTAGGACCTCGGGGCAAACCTGGGGCTGTCTCCCGATGAACTATAACAAAATGCGGTACACAAGTAATGTTTCCATTAAGTTGTGTAAAAATACTGCAGTTCATAATGCGAGTTATAACTAAGAGCTCAGTTGATTTTATGGGAAAATTGATTTATTTTTCACTCAGTATAAACCCTTTCGTATAAAAACAAACAAATCCACAATTAATATTAAATCACAAAACAAATATTTGAAGCAATGATGCAAAACAATAAACACTTCTGAATAAAATGGATCAAATAATAAAATGATAATGAAATGCATGAGACCATGGAAATTCAACTTTGGTGGAACAACAACAATAGATTGAGGGGAAAAGCTGAGTGAGACAAGAGCTTCAGCACGTTTGAAATGGGCAACTTCACCGGTCAAAAAAATCCACGCTCAACCTGAAAAAAAAGAACCATTTCCCTTTTCCATAATAAGACACCTTGTTAGATCCGTTCAGGTGGAGAATGACATGACATAAACTGACGTACATCGACAAACTGGAATGAAAACTTAGCTTAATATTATTTCATCTAATAAATGCCCACATTCGGCAATCTTTTCCTTCCGGTTAGAGATATCATAAGGTGGTAACGTGTTCAATAAAAGTGGTCGGTTTATTCACCAGCTTCAAGCAAAGTCCATTCTATGTTTAATATCTGCATTCTACTGTAGCTCACCACAGGTCTAAGCCTCAGATTTATTATGGTATCCATCCCAGCAAACAACGAAGGTGAATCTACAGGAATGAATGTCCTCCACAGTCCGGGCGGTTGCCTGCTGCATGGATCACTTTCACAGACACATTTAACCGCAAGATTATCTATGATGTTGTGAAAAAAACAACACTCGTTTGCAATTCTCGTTAACGACAGCTCTTTCGAAGCCCCAAGTGACCCTGTCAAAACAACTGCCAATAGGAATATCATCAATAATCTTCAACTACTCAATTAAGTTCACTGATTAATAGCATCACGAACGTGTCACGCGTAAACAATGATAAAACCATGATAAATATTCTCCAAATACATCACATTTCCTAATACAAGCACACAACGGTGAACATGCTTACGCATTGCTCAAAAGTCGAACCCAAACGAAGTTTCCTGACCGACTATGCGCTTCAAAATGACGTAGTACGGATTGGTCGCGCACGGATTTGTCGGTCACCGAATACAGCTGGTTCGCCGTGCGATTGTACCATTTATTTGCGTAAAGTAGTGACTGACATTAATATGGTGTCACTATGGAGCGAAGAATGCAATATAGTCAGCATAAACGCGGTGGTACTCGTTCGAATATGAAAAACGTGAGTGTTGATGTTGTTGGAATGTTTTTCTTTTCGTTTCCTTATCTGCGATTTATATCAGTTGTCACATTACGTCTCTTCTCGAATTCTGTTCACTTATTTCGTGGTGTTATCATAAACAACAGTTTTAGTTGCCTATCTTTCAGTTTTCAATGAGCAGTCTTAGAGCAACCCTCACTCTTTTCTAATGCACATTCCCATTTGTATGCTAAAGAATTGATCGTATATGTTAGTGTTGGCCTTCATTGTCTGCGATGTAACCGAATTCCATAGAAATGGCGGATGCAATAGTCTAATAATTATAATTTCATTAAATGCCCCAAGAATATAGTTAGATGCTCTATGCATCTGAATTGTGCATGTAGATCTTGTTATTCGAATTCGCCGTGTCTGTATTATTTTTCTTTTTAATGTATCTCTAGAATAGATTGTTTGTTTAGCGTGTTATTGCGAAGCATTAGATCGATTGGGGGGACAAAATACAGTGCAAAACAGTATAAGTGTGCATGTAGGCGTGACCTAATATGGGACCATTTGACATCTCTTCTATGATAATATGAAGTATCGTATTATGAAATTTAAAACTAAAACTCTTCGTTAATCTGAATCGGCGTTAGGACGGGTGGGAGCTAATTCCTAAGGTTACGCGTTCTTTGAACATTTTGAATTTGCTTTAGGCAGAATATGAGCCTAAGCGTGGGCGTGATTCGGAACTTCAGTCTATGTCTGACCCCTCAGCCTAACCTCAACTGTCCAACTTGAGCCTTTGTTGTAGATAACCGCAAAACGCAGCTCCTTGGAATTGCCCAGACATTATATGTTTAGCTCAAGTTAAAATTGTAGTTTCGCCAGTTAAGATATTAGGGCCTAATCACAAGTTGCGGCTTTGCATCGTATTTTCTTTCATCTCGTTGCCATTCGACATTCTGCCAACCGTTGTTTTGCGTGGAATTGATGAAAGTGGATTCATATAACTAATGAATCTATTCGCTAGCCTTGATCTATCTTCAAACAATAAGTATCGACAAGTAGCCTGTATGTATATAATGTTTGAAAAGACTATGTATATAATTAACTTCGTTATCTTCTGTTTGCCTTAGTAATTTTAGTTTGATGTTATCACAATTGATTGCTGATAGTACTGTTGAAGAAAAATCATAATTTTCTGTGCTGTCAATCAAAATTCTTATTTTGTTCTTTTGCTATTTCACGTTCCCTAATTGAATGTCTGATTGGTATTTGAATGATCAAACTATTCCACATTTTTTGAATTCAATCACTACAGTCATTTTGTTGAGTTTGTTTTTTTCGCCAAACCATTTTTTATCTTTGCCGGACTCTTCATACAAACATGGATAGTAATATCATTTGTTTACTTGATAAAATATCATTAATTTGATTATTCGTTTGGTTGTTATTATTTAATTATTACATTATTAGTCGATTGCATAAGAATAACGATAGATTAGTTCATACTATATGATAGTAATAATAATTCTAAGATGAATTGCCATTATTGTTTTACGTTTTGTTTTCCCCAGGATTCTTTTCATAATTGTAATGAAAACTTATGCAAGCATGATGATTTCTTTGCACGTTTATATTCGTTGTAGCAATTAGTGCTCTAAATTCATGCAGAACGCAATGCATATGGTTCGATCGTCAGTGCGCAATATGTGGGATTGCTACGTAAGGGGTGATTGCCAGTTGAAACCGGCCGAGATGGAACGACTTGGAAATCATAAGTACAGTGCTGTTGATGTGTCATGGCTTGATGAACTCTGCATGAAGAGGTATGTTTTGTTATTTATTAGTGTCTTACTTATGGTTAGCGAGTGTTGCCTTCACTAAGAGACTATTATTTGATGTTTGTTCTAATTGAAGATTTGTTGTTTTAAGGTTTTGGGATTATTTAGTTACATTCTATCCATTGTGGCTGGCACCAAATCTGATTACATTGATCGGTCTTATCGTGAATCTCATTACGGTTCTTATCTTATCATCATTCTGTTATGGAGCTAATTATCCGGTAATTTTGCTATCCATTCTGACAGTGACATCTTTTTTTTTTCATGGTTCAGTTATCCGTTTCGATCCGGTGAAATAAATAAGTTGTTATTCTTGCAAAAACGAAAATCGTTAGATTCTGTCAATATCATGCTGATTTTCCTTTTGAATAAGGAAACGTGTTCCAAACATATTTGAGATGAATGAAACGAGCAGTCATGAAGTTTACAGCGACGAAGTTTGAAGTGACCGAACCACTAACACGAATCGCATTGCGATGAAAGCTTTTAACAGAAGCTACACTTGTAAAACTTGTTCAAAACATAACGCAAAAAATTGTAAATTGCATCTTGATTAATATGATAGAGTGTAGTCACTAATAACTGAACGATGTTCATCTGAAAGTGATTCATGAGAAATAAGATTATTTTTAAATACTTTCGATTGATAGCATAGCGTGCATAGTTTCCGAGTGCATCCAACTTGATTTTGGCAATCATCGATTACCATTTCGATGAGATGATTCTTGTCTGATCACCATTTTGATAAAACGACTATTTCATGAGTAGTGTTGATGCTCTTAGTAATGTTGCCTAGTAGAAGTGCATACTTCAAGGCGCCGTCATGGGCATATTTTCAAGCAGCATTAGGCCTCTTTATCTATCAGACATTGGATGCAACGGATGGTAAGCAAGCCCGTCGCACTGGTTCTAGTTCTCCACTTGGAGAGCTGTTCGATCACGGTTGTGATTCGATGACACAAGGTTAATTATTGTTTGGCCTTATATTCATTCTTATATAATTTTTTGCATCTTCTGGTGTAATTCCTAACGCAGTAACTGTCTCATCTCATTTTTCAAGTGGTTTTTAATCGGATTTGAAGATGTGAATAACATGAATGATAGACCATTTGATGAGCAATGTTGATATGATTGGAAAACGAAAAGTGAGTAATTGAGTTTGTTATCTCTTTATGAAAAGCTAATCCTATTCACAAGGCATCTATTAAATATCAGTTGTTAGGTAAGTTTCCGAATTTGCTCAAATAGATCCTTGCTTATCAGTCATCGAAACTCGTTCTTAGGAAAAGGAATAATTTGTTGAAATATTTATGTGTATGATGCTACAGTAATTAATTTACCCTCCAAGGCATTCCAATATATTTGTATTATTTTCAGTTTTTGTGACCCTTAACTTATGCTATTGCCTGCAATTGGGTCAACATCGCTATTTGGTTTTCGCAGTTTGTGTGCTTTCTGTTGCACTCTTTTATTGCGCCCATTGGAGTACGTATTGTACCGGTCGACTAAAGTTTTCCAAGTTAGTAGAATTTTATATGTGAGCCCATCAGTAACCATTCCAAAAGTAGATTATTTTCATCTCATGATTTGTGTTATTCAGTTCAACAGTGCTGAACGACCAATTGAGTTTTTCAGTCATTTCATTTTTAAGGATCTTGCCTTCTTATTTACTCCATATCAGCGTCTTTCACGCTTGGAGCCCTCTTCGATGGTCTGGCAGGCCGTCATTCTCCCCTCCCTTCCCACTAAAAGAATTCAATATTTCCGCGCATAATGTCAAGGGCAAATCCAAAACAGATCCTGAAAATCCTCGGTGACGTGAAAGAAATTAATTTTTTGAAGTTGAACAAGTACTTTCAGAACTTTATTTGTCAGTTGCAGAAAGAATATGAACTTTAGCAATTATCAGCGGAAAGCAATGAAAAAAATCATTTGTCAACGATGAAAAACGAAATTTATCAACCAGTTCAATTACACCCTCAAGTATCCCCCCGACGTCCCCAAATTATCCGCAGGAAGTAATTCTCTCCTTCCCCCTTATGAGAAACACTGCTGTATGTGAATGTCGCTTCACTGTCAGTCATATTATTCTTGCTGCATCGAGAGCATTTGTATGGTGTTAGTCAATGAATGATCATTAGATGTTTTTCTTTTTGAACAACTTCATTGATTAACTTTTGTAGATACGATGTGACAGAAGCTCAGATGACGGTTATTGCCGTTTTAATTGTGACCAGTATTTTTGGCACCGAGCTGTGGTCTTTCAAGGTTTAACTCTTTATTCAATTCATTCATCATTGATTACTTTTAACCAGCCCTGACTGTAAATTATTCCACTGCCAGATACTGTCAAGTCCCTTCAAACCATCTTAGTGTTTTAATGAATCGGAAAAGTCTGTTCCGTTCACTGTGATATCTTTTGATCACTCAACTGTCCAATTTTCCCGAAATTTTTGCTGATGTTATATGCTGTAGGTGAGGTGATATGTAATGCACATGAAAAGCGGATCAAGTACACACATATGTGATCATTTTGTAGGTTTATCGAAATCGTGATATACAATAAACGTTTAGGTTTTTGGCGTGAGCTTGACAATACCTGTGGTTGGATGCAGTGTTGTGATGATTATTTGGCAGATGGCTGGTTATATGGTGGTTGTTTTTTCTGGTGGTATAGGCAAGAATGGGTCTACAGTGGCGGTATGTTATTGTTATTATATGCTGTGAGTCAGTTATTACATTAATATTAATTTATGGATGGATGTGAACTTTGTGGTTGAAGTTATTCTTTGGTCAGTCACTGTTGCGGGCATTCGGTTAATAAGTAATAAGTTGTTGAAAAAATGAAGTAATGTATCTTAAATGAGTCGAAAAAGATCGTTTCTTACCATCTGTCTTGAATTGATCTCTCACATAATAGTATTATCGTGTGTGTTATTACAGATTGCGTATTTTTAGGACACTTCAGTGCTGTTTCCTCTGTTTCCGCTTCTAGCAGTTATCGTACCGTTTTGTATGATTTATAGTAAATCAACGTCTGGAATATACGATGAGCACATCACATTATTTGCACTTTGCTTTGGTGCAGTTGGTGCGAAGGCAACGAATAGGTTGATTATTATTCTGTAGATATATTCTTCGTTTCTGATATTCGGGAATCATTTTACTCTTTGCTTGTTTATTTGTATCATCGATTCAGCAACCTTTATTGAAACTCTTTTCGTGACTATTTCACGAGGAATGTGATGGGTATTGTTTGATGAATTGACTTGATGAAGCAAAAAACGAGATGCAGTGAGACATGTAATCCTGACGGTTTGACAGATTCCAATTCATTTTGCATATATGATTACCTTGTAAGGAAGCATTTAAGCACTGGCCACACATATGCATGCAACCGTGTTCACTAATCCAAATCTTTCCTATTGAATTCGTCGTTTTCTGTAACCAAGTTCTTTAGCTTGATGTTCTCATGATTATGAAAAAAATTAAATATGTTTGTTTATGATTAACGATTTGTTTCTAGAAAATAATTTCTCTACAAGTACATATCCCAAAATCATCTCAAGATGAAGGGGAGGCGTGTTGGCTTTGCGTTATTTGTTTCTGTTTAGACTCGTTATAGCGCATATGAGTCGAAGTGAGCTAAGTTTGTGGGATTGGATATACTTATCACCAATTCTGATGATGCTGAATCAGTATTATGACTTTTACGTCAACGAGTATTATCTACTGATTGCTGCTACGGTATGTGAATTCGTTCTCTTTGTTCTGTTAGACCAGTTAAAGTGAATTTGATTGGATGTAATTTGATGTCGAGATTGCATTTTCGTTTCGGTTACGTCCAGTGAGTTCATAAATCATTTTGTGTACCGCTGATGTGTTCGAATAGTGGCGGTTCGATGGTATCAGTTGTGTACAAAGTTATGACTAAATCAAAAGCTTACAGATATATGCATATGCGAGTTTGATTCTGTTTAGTACAATGATATGTCGACAATTCTGTATTTACCTCAATATCTACTGCTTCACACTGGGACCACGTGAGGTGAAAGATAACAATAATACGATCAAAGGTTATGGTTATCATCTGCGTTCGAAACGATCGTGAATTTCGTTCGTTTATATCTCCATTCCTCATAATACACGTATACATATATTATTGCGCTCTTTTTATCTGGTCGTTGTGTTCTGGATGCTTCATATACGCAAATTCATTCACTTTATTGATATTGATATATATATGTATGTAGTCAACATGTGAATACGAATGTAATATGCCATAATATTGTTGTAGAGCGACTAGGAGTGAATACAATTCATTGACTGAACTCAATAATTAAACTGAAGAAACAATTTCTTTTACATAATTCGTTTGTATAAGAACAGTCCAGTCCGTTTAAGAATATCATATCCACGCCAAGTATTAATTAGTTTTTGATTGCGGAGTTTTGGTATTTGCAAATATTTGGCGTAATGTTGAAGCAGTTTTTGTTTCGTCTTCGTTTTTGAATTGCTAATAGTTTAGTTATTCAGTAGTTGTGGCTCGTTATCAGACAGTTTGCTTAGTAGTACGTAGATTATTCTTTAATTGATTGTTTTGTTGATTGTCATTGTTTTTCTTCGCAGTTATTGCATGTTCTCAAATGCTAATCTCTTTCTTTCTTGAGAAGAATCATTTCCTCTCAAAATTTTTATGTTTTTTTAATAGCTTTACAATTTTTAATCTTTTTTTGTTCAGTTATCTATAACTATCATAGTTCTGTTTAGCAATTATTAGTTCATCGAAACATCTCTGATTGATTCAGCATTTTAATTTTTGTTCGATGTTACAGTTCTGTTTTGCATATTCCTCTTCTGTGTGTTGCGATAAATCAGGTATCGTCGAATTGTAGAAATGCTATCTGAAGTTTAAACAGAGAGATTTTATTCGGCACATAGAGTATATTCCGGTCTAATATGGTGTATCAACGCTAAGATGTGATTGACTGTGTGAAAGCAATCATGAAGGCCATTCATTCATTCAGCTGATTTGTGATTGTTGATATGTGTTGACAAGTAATCTTTTTGATATCATACCAATATCCGTTGATTGGTTGTGCACTTCATTTTCATAATTCTCGTTGAGTGATTGCGTTTTATTCATTAGTAAATGGTTGATTTGCATAGTTGAAATGTGAATCGGTTACGATACTTTTAACAGGGTGAAGCGAACAAAGACAAAAATACTCAGTGGTGCTTTTACAGAGTTGTTTTGATTAACTGTATCAGCTTACGTTGCCGTCTTTTAAAGACAAAAAAAGCTGAAGAAGTATTTTTATCATTCAGAGTATTTTATGATGAGTGTTACCACTGAACGGCATAACTGTCTTGGCATTGTTCGTATTGAATCTTTTGGTTTTAGGAATCTTTGATAGAAACGAAACACGTTGCGTATTACTCAGTCGTCTGTGACACTCATTTCATTCGAATCAACCATTTAATTAATGAAAAGTTGACTGAATTGAATTGTTCTTTTGCATTTAGTTTGCAATGGTTGTTTTTTAAACATTGACCGTTTCAGTTGTGGTAGTGTTTTATTTTGTTTGTTTTTTCTTACGCTTTCATATTGTTTTGATAACAAACACTGCATTTCATTCCTTTTACAGTAATCTTTTGTTGTGTTCTTTTAAGTGCTTTCTTTTCAAGCCTTACCCCGTCAAATTAGTTGTGTTTGTGTTGTTCATAAACGATGTGCGAACTATCTTCGAATAGTATTTTTATGTACACTTTAAATAAAATAAGGCAAAATTTTCAATTTTCCAATTGTGATGTTAAACGGCCCTTCACGCTTTTCATAATTTCCCTATTGTGAGAGCTTCAATTTGTTGATCAGTTGCACTGTTTGATCGAGAGATCAAGTTAATTTGATGACGATGCTGGTAATAAATGAAATACTGCATACCGCAACAAATCAATATATAGTTGTAAAGTCAGTTATCGGCTTTGGTCAACTTATTTTTCCAAGAAAAGTGAGCATACTTTGAGGTATTACGGATGAGCGTTGCTTCATCACGTAGCATGACAGAGAGGTTAACTTCACCGAGGGATTAGAAAAAAATCGACAAATAAACAGTCAATCTTTCATGCTTACTAGCAAGCCACAAAGGAATTGAGTGGTTATTCAACACCTTCCGTGACTTGCATCATTCATAGTTTTCTGAAAGATTCGAAACTCATTCCAGTTTTTTTTTTTGATGCAGCAAGTGTTTACTGGTGCACGATACGTCGGTGAAAAAGGTTCGAAAATTTTCAAAGGGATAATGTATCGAATTTTCAATGATGCAATGAGGTGATAAAGCAACGTTCGTCGGTAATACCTTCACTGTTCTCAACGAACCATTGTTCGGTGACGTAAGAAATCGGCTTTATCCGTTTAAACTAATCGTTGTTTTATTACTGTCCATCATCTACTGCCGAACTGAAGCGTATTTTGGTAAGCTTACTAGCATCTTTCATTCGACCACAATATTTATTTTGTTCTAATAAAATGCCTCCGATAATCTTGAAAAAACCACCGATCCGTATTTTATACGAGTAATATGGCAAAATTAAAAACAAATAGTTGTTTGCTAAAAAAGAATGCGAATGGTACGAATTATTATTAATGTTTATTTCGTACAGACAATTAAAAAAAAAACAGCAGATGAGCTACAGTTTATTAACAAAACTTATAGAAATCTAGCAAGAAAGATGCATCACATCTACTTTTCCTGTTCTTCCAGTCGAATTAATTCTTTAACTCCATCATACATCTGTTTCACAGCCTCATACTCCGTGATACCGAGACGGTTCTGCAATGTATGTAGGCGTTAACAGAAAACAAAAATCCGACACGAACATAACTTCTGCTCAAAATTCTGATGTTTTCAATTGTATTTCTCCATTGGAATACCATAAAACCATGGAAGCTTATGCGAAACGAATTCAAATTAACTGATGAACATTTAAAAACACAAAAAATTGAAGTATGCACCTTGTTTGAAATATCGTATACTCCTCCTTCGCTTTTCGAGTGCTCCCCGTGAACACCACGTGCTTGTAAATTCAGCTTTTCGCATATCTCCTTTAAATGAGATGAATGCAAAAGTAATGAAGCAAGAAATGTGAAAAAAATTCATCGAATGAATTCACATAGTTCTAAGCGAAGACAATAACGCGTAAGCGAATACCAAAGAAGAAAGCGATTACCTTGAAATCATCTCTTTTGGAGAGTTTTGGTAACTTAATATGCACTGACGCACGGATCGTAGAGCCGAGATTCGTTGGACAGAACGTCAACCAACCGAGGCGATCGTCATGAGCAAATGACAATTTCGATTGTAACAACTGAAACATTCATTTGCATTAGATTTAATTAATGAAATGATTCGAGTAAATAATTTACTGCTGGAAATGAAAATCGACGACTTTGAATAAATAAAAAGTTGTATGAGTTGGACTCGCAATAATAACTGCATCACAAAAAAGATCATCTTTACCTGAATACCTCGATTGAGTCGATCGAGTACCTCACCAACGTCGCTACCTTTTTGCATTGAAATTAACCGTAAGTGATCCTCTTCATTCACCCATACCAAGAAAGTTTTGTTTTTATTATGGAAAATACCGCGACCCTGAAATTTAACTACAACTGAAATACTTGATCGTCTAATTGATGAAAACAAGCAGGCAATACGCAGTCAACTTCGTAAGATTCCGTTTCAACTGATGCTTGTCACAAACCGCAAATACGTCTGCCTATACACACATCAAAAACTGAATAAATGATGAAACGATAGTAGCGTATTTGGTAAATAAACCAATAATGGACGATGCGAACATAGATATTGAACAGAAGGAATTATGAACTAGCACCGATTCATTTATTGAATCAACCGCTCAAGTGTGCAACGTGAAGCAAATTTAAAGGCATGTTCAAATGATTCGACTCCAACTCGATTTTATTATTGCAGAAGATGAGGGCTGACGTAAAACTGCTTACCTTAGGCCAATAATTGCACGCCTTAGCCTCTTTCAAGTGACGATCACCCTCTTTAAAGAGGAAATGCTCTTGTATTAACCGACTCTGCACCTCTTTACTCATTCCTTCCAACGGATGATAATTTCCGTTCAGTTCACCGTCCAATAATGACAAGCTATTCTTCACCTTAAACAACACAACTTACAATCGTTTCTTTTTTCGAAATGCAGACAGATCCCACTCCATTACGCTTAGTTGAAATTATTCTCCTGAATATTTTTATAAACGCATCATTTATCGGTGGAATGTTAGTGTCAAAAAAGGGGTGAAAGAATAGCACAAGAAAATAAATCGCTTCCCTTCTGCTCTAAAATCAGATAATCGTCCTGTGTCAATAAAGGATTGAATGGATAGCCGGCCACTGTACGAGCACATCGAATTCTGAATATGAATTCTCTTTTTAGAATATTATCACAATCGCGCCCTATGTAATTTGATTGGGTTATGATTATGATAAGAATGCTTCTAGAGGCTTAGTGGTTGGATAGTTTGCAAAAACAATGCAACCTTGTCGAAAGAATGTATTTGTTGTCAGGATCGAGTGGAGGGAAATCAGCAGTTCGGCCAACACCCAAATCGACTTTTGGATGTTTTTGATTCGGCGAAAAACCATGATAATCCTCGATGATCGGATCGAAGAGTGCTGCGAATGTCTTATAAGATTCACTATCTGAAGCGTACACGCCCACATTCGCATCCAAGTTAAAGACGCCTGCAAAAAATAGACAACTTTAATACAAGAATAATTGAACATAATATATTTTATGCTAATCAATTGAGTTTATAAAGAACATATAATTTGCAGGCTTGATTATAGCACAGTTTGCTTTCTACAGTTGAAAGACGCACAATTTTTTGTCGCCTATTACTGATATAATATATTTAGAAAAAAGAAAGCAATAGATGTTCAGCTGGTCTATGTACGATAGTTTCCATCATCGTTGGCAACTATGGTATATATTACATGGTTTTTTAATGGAATATATTACAATCACTGAGTTCTACGTGAGCAAATAACATTTAGGGAAACTGCAAAAGGTTAGTCTCTCTTAGCTTTACATGCATTCAATAATTCACAACATGTAAACGAACCTGAACGAATAATATCATAGAGAGTAGCGCCCAATTTTGTCTTTTTGTATTTCAGCTGGTCTAGTACATCGCGACTGAGGTGCTTTTTCAGTAATGAATGACAATCTTCAGCCTAAACAAAAATTCATGAAGCATAATGCATAACGAAACAAATGAATTTACTGACAAAAGTAAACTTCATTTTTATGCAGCTTCTAAACTGTACGAGTCTGCTGCAAAACTCTTCCCCTTCCCCCCGCAAATTCACAACAGTCTTACCGAAGTTGCTGAAAGCTGATATCTGCTAACACAACATGAAACATATGAATACGGCCCCATAAACTTAGAGTCTAGCTGCTAACCTCGAGCTCAATTCATCAGAATCGTTCTAATATCATATGTGTTAAGTGATGAGCGATATTCTCACATGTTTATACCACAAAAATGAGAAATTTCTAGGACAAAATTATCGCTAAGAAACGGCGGTCATTGTTCGGTTTGTAATCATCTTCAACTCAGAATAGTTAACCTTCTGCAACCTCTGGAATGCTTCCTCGAGTTTCTTAACAGTAGATGCATCAGCTTCATTGATCTGAAGATTCACCAATGCAACGTCTCTATTCTGAAAAAAACAGTTTATAGAGATAATCATTAGTTCTGATGAGATAGACAGAACCTAAAATTTGTAATACCTGAGCCTCACCTCAAACGAATTCTTTCTAGAAAGGTGGAAAGTGCATTTCAGAAATAAGATTAATTACTGCAAGCAAAACTAGTATTCAGTGCACAAAGAATACTTTTAAAAAATAGAATTTACGTACATACGGATAAAAGTAGGCGAAAGCTGTTGCTCCACCCGCAATAGCGAGAAGACTGCTGAATACTGCTTTTTGATTTTTGAGAAAAGCCATGAAACGACGTCGCAAAGCGAATCCTACAAGTACTCGATATAATCAAAGCAACTGATGACAATGTAACGCCGTCGACACTATTTACAAACGAAAACAGCATTCTTACCAGATAAAATCAACTACATATTATCTACGCACATCTTCAAACAATGTATCACCAAATCAGAATTAATTTAAGTTAAAAAAATTACTGAATGCCGAAATCATGACACCTGGATTCAGTGCATAATTAAAGTACGGGTTCCTTTAAGTTGTTCAATTTAAATTGCTTTATGATCACTAAATCTTCGAAATTTTCGCATTCAATGCACACATATCTAGATACACGAGCTATGGATATTGTCGAACATTCACCAAATGTGTGTGTGTGACCCCATCCATCACGTCTGAGTCTGGTGAATAATCGACAATACTAGCCATCAGCTTCGATAAGCAAACAATTCTGTTAATCAATAAGATAGGTAACTAATAGATCAATGAAACGTTTAACTTTCGACGAATGATTCGCAAACTGACTAGTGCAAATAGGACTACTGACGGAAGAATGAGAACAATCGATAAAATTCATAACTGCAATCATCAACAACAAGACTCGACTCAATGATTGAAAACTGCAGAATTGCCACCAATACCAAGTTATACTACCAACTAATTGCAAAACCAGTTAGATTTTTTGAACAATGAATGCTATTCCAAAATCCACTGTAAATTATGATTTTGTTAAAGTATTCCAAGTTTTATTTGCGTTGAAGCATACCAAAGAAATAGACTGATTGCAAATAAATTTCAGAATGCTCTACAGTTTTCCAGCCTGCGATTTTAATGTTCACATTGCTATCATCCAGAATACTCGTTCGAAAGTATTCACGATAGCAGGATATGTCAAAAGGTTTCCAATCGACACTTTCATTTTTCAACAACTTTAATTAACAATACCCCTCATTAGCGTAAACCTAAGCTGATTAATTCATTATCTCAGCATCGAATACAATTCCAAATATCAAAATAATTTAACGCAAACCTTTACGCTTTTTCCTTACCACACCAGAATCTCTCCTCTTAGTTCTGAGCAACATTACTATAGCACGTATTGTATCTCGAACCAGCAGTCGTCGTTTAGCTAAAACATTACCGGTTGGTCGTGAAGCGAAAATGCGGGAAATGTGAATTTTTGAAATTTCAGAAATTTCAGAAAAAAGCCTATTAGAGAATTTCAGCTTAACAGACAAAATTCAGTGCTGTTAATTGGAAATTGTGCTTTTAGAATGCAAAGATTGTAGTGGCTTAACTAGCCATGTGCAAGTAGATTGAATTTGAGAACATTCTGCAAAGATGTGCAACATGATGGTCTGGTGATGCATAACTGTCCTTTAGGAATTCAAATCAACAATCATCAGGAACTCTTTTGATTTAGGAATGATACATGCAGTCAACGGATTTGATCACGATCAACAAAACAACAATAAGCTTATCGCAAAAGATGAACTATCAGACAACAAAAAACTGCCTCCCCAAGGTGAATGATTGAATGATATTCATTGCAGTTATATAAAATCATGAAATTCAACTCGTTTTTGTAAGCGAGCGTATGTGGAAGGTTCGATTCATTGAACAGTTATGCATACGAATACAAAAGTTCAGCTGTCTTTGCCGTTATAACTTGTTTTGACTGAACATATATGAATTATCCAATAATACAACATTACTTTTCTGGACTCTGCAAGCAAAAAGAAGAATGACGATGGAGAAGTTGAAAGGTCAGAATTGAATTATTGCCCAAAATATTGTCTTTATGATAGAAAGTGGCCCTTCGGTCGAACAGCTGCATACACAACAACCTGCACAGATGAACGTTTTCGTTCGAAAACAGTTTCTTTTATTGAACGGAAAATCTTGGTGTATTTAAGTTGACTGAGATGTGTACGGTACATGTAAAGAATTATCACAATACTAACAACATGGCAGGATAGGGATTACCTGAACGTCGTACATCTAGCGATGTTAGTATAACTATCAAGATCAGGATGTGATGATTCCTATATGGGAAGAAAATCAAATCTTCGTCTAACAGTACAAATACCTTTCTCAAGCTAGAAATCACGTTCTATACAATGGAAATAAAAATTTTGAGAAAATTTTGCTGCTAGGGAGCAGATCGTCCGAACATCAGAAACTTTTAGCTCAGTTGATATTACAGTGGTAATGGGAACCAAAATGCGATGATTTTTATGCCAAACTATATCTGAAGAAATTGAGATTTTATTCTCTGTAAATTTCCTAATAAAATAAAGCTAAATTTGCAGTGGTATTTTGTATAGCTGATCATATATGCGTATTATACAAGCATATATGCGAAGTTATAAATCATAGTGTTTTTATTCGCTTCAAATTTCGTTTCGTTGAATGCTTAAGTACAGTTGGAAATTGGTACTTTTGTGGAACTTTTAGTTTTTTCCGTCATGAATAGAAGAAGCAACGTCAATTTTCACAATACTTTGCTAGTCTTATCGAATCCCGAATGATTTGATTCGTTTTCTGTCATTTGCACCTCAATTCTTTTCTGATATCAACATCCAGTTGAATATGCCAAAAGAGCATCAATAATGTTCGTGGTAAGATCAACATTAATCAGACTAATAATAACCATATGCTCAATAATAATAATAATAATAATAATAATAATAATACCAATAATGCTTGTTCAAAAAGAATAATAGCAGTGAATGAACAACAATACTAATTAAAACAATATGCGTGATAAAAGTAGTGCCAATAATTGCAATGATAATAAACGTGTACAGGAATAATAACAATACAAAAATATTTAAAGTATGACAACAATAGCAATCTAGTGGAAATGCTAGCAAAATAGATATAAGATATACGAGCAAACAATGAAATTTTAATCGCATTTTACTGTCGAATTATTCATCACATATGACGGCTTATCGACATAAACGTATGTTCTGGATCTCTCAACCAAATTACATCAGTCAAGCTCAATACGTAGTTTGTTCCATACTGGAATATTTCTGTTTTTTGTATCAGTATGTTTATATGTACTTCTTGTCACGGCTTTCTGATAAATGATAGTGTGGATTTGTTGTCAAATTTTTCTTTCTGATATTTTAAAAATCAGTCAGGATTTTGAAAAATGTCAACAAATCTTTCGAAAAATGTTGACAAAAATTGATACTCGTTATCGCTTCTCACTTGTAAACGTTCTCATAGAATTGTTTTTTTAAACCTTCATAGCTGTTTATGACCATTTCAATCTCCAAAACGTACATATCAACACTAACAACAGTTTGACTGCATTAGGATTGAAATGTAAATAGAATAACATCCAATTACGATATTCAAAAATGGGTTGCATTTCTAGACAGTCAGTTATTCGCTTGTAATGTTTGCTAACATCAACAACACTCAGAGTTCTCAGCTGCTCATTTGTTTTGCTTTCACTTCATTCAAAAACTAAAGATGGCAACTTCAAACAAGAATACAATAACGGTAATGAGTAATGTTGTAAAAGAGATGCATGTATGGTGGCTGGCTTATGAATGAAGCATGTTCATGAATACGTGAATTGTTAAGACGCAATCTACTGCATCTACCCTTATGTGCTTAAGCATTCGTTTTTGTAAAACGAATCAATAGGTAAACACTTGCAGTACCGAACACAGTTAGTTGATAACGTTCGCATACGTATACATATACATTTATATGTGTGTATGTATCAATCACTTTGAACCAACGGGCCGATACGATCGAATAACATCGAACCGCTCTTCAACAGCCGCTCTACTTCATTTCTTCTTGCCATCATCGATTGAATCACTTCATTTCTTTATCTTATCAATAAATGTTAATTTATTTATATAATTTACGTATGTTCAAGTATCGTGAAAGCAATCCGGATACCATCATTCGAAATACCAATCATTCATTATAACTTACCACTCTCTATACAAAAAGCTACATTATCTTAACTGAATAGACTTTAACATTATCAAGCATTCGTCATTGTTTTTTACAGAAATGATAGTAATAATGATGTAACAATAATGAGATTAACATTGCCGTAATTATTCATTCAACCCACACGAAATGTTATCATCTAATAATTATCAACAACTCTCATGCCCTCATTCTCATTTGCAACGTATCATATTTGATGTCATTCTCATATACCATTAATTCAGTGCTTGTGTATTCAGTGTATCCAACTTTTCTTTATAAATCATAAAATATCTGTGCTAGTTTGTTCAACTGTCTCAACTAAATATATTACCATTGGATTCCTTTCTCCGATAATCATTTTTCTTGCATCTGATTCATGACCGTTATTTTGTTTTTATTCCAGCAACAAAATGTTATTTGTATTATCAGCTAATAATTGTAGTATAACAAGCTAACGTAAAACGACGAGAGATATGTGATTAAAGATTTGAAAAGAGCTTTAACAATTTATTTCACACATTTATCAGCGATTTCATCTCATGTTTAAATCGTTACCAGCAACAAACCGATCGACATTCGACACGGTTACTAGACTGTTCGCATTGGGAGCATTTAAACTGTTTGCTTAACATGAAAAAACCCCTCCGCTCATTTTTGTTGTGGTGCACTGCTTTATCGGTTCTTTTCTATGTGCTATCGTAGAAGTCAACGAGAATGAAACTGACTGTGTGAAACAAACTGAAATGTTAATAATAATTTTTTGAAGAAACAAAAAATTAACGCAGTTAAACGATTGCAAAACCGCCCGAACGCTGGTAAATAATTGTTGTTGTGCGGGTCGTTAAGATATTGCTAACGAACCTCGAAATCATCTCAAGTATACGGAGGTTCATAAAATACGTAAACGATAAGTCTCGTCGAAGAAATGCTGTGCTAAACTTGAACTAGAAGATATTTTGCATTCTATTCTGTAAACATCTTCGTTATCCTAGTAATAAGAAATATTGACATTGAAAAGTCTTCTGAACTAATCCACTTTCATACCAACGTTGAGATCGGCATTTTCGAACAATGATAGCAATGGTAAGAGTAAGAATAGAAATAGGCGTAATCCTAATAATAATAACAATAACAATCCACTGAAGGACGTAAATAATACGTAGAAAAATTAAGTTGCGGACGTTTCGGCGCAATATGTCAGCTTCAACCGCACAAATGTATTGGATCAATCCATTCGTGTGGCTGAAGTTGCCGTATTGCGTCGAAACTTTCATTTTCTACGCATTATTGTAGTCATCATTATTTCTGTTCTTACGTTCCACTCAATTCCATGATTTTAGATGAATGCAGTGTTCAGTGTGAAACACATCTTAATATCTAATATGTAACGTGTTCAATTCATTGCGTAATAAAACGGGCGGTTAAGGTCAATTTTCACTCTTCTCTAATGTCAATCAGTTGTGCGTTGAACGCATCTTGAGTCTCGACCTATGTTGATGATAGCCAAGCACTCCTAGTGTTCTCTTCAACCAACGATAACAAATCATATCATTATATTTACCGTATTAATATAAGCCTATACTAGGAATTCTCTAAAGAATTGTTTGTTTATTGATTGCTGTGCACAACAGCAATCAACAAGTTGATGACGCTTATAAAATTAATCATCTTACAAATATTTATCGATCCATCATTTTCATTACTCATTCTAATCAGACCTCCTCATTCAACTTGTTTGATACTATTGAACAATCGTTATGTTATCAACAATGCTGCATGTCGATAAGGTAGAAGCTATTGACACTAGCAACTAACATTTCTTTTTTTTAATCGAAAAATTGCGATCATTTTTATTGCTCGTATCGTTTTTCTCAGTTCATAGATTCTTTCAACTTTTTGAGTGAAACGAATTGTTTTGGTGGTGAAAAATTTCTCTTCGCTTACTTTATGGAGCGGTGATGGGCTTTGCTGAGGGAACGAGTGATTCTAACCCGAGACGCAATGTGAAGGGGTTTTTAGATATCGATAAATAAAAGAAACGAGCTATGCTCACGTGTACAGCTCAACAACCTTCAATCGAACAACCCAAAATTTCTTGAGACTGAACAAATCTTAGATTAAAAAGCAAAATCTGATTAATAATTGTGAATCAAAACCAAAACAGTCGTGATAATGTTGCAGCAAGCAATTACGATCAGTGGAATATAGAGAGACTGAAAATGTGTGTGCTATCATATTTTATTTGTTCCATTCAGTACCGATAAGAGAAGTATTGTGATTAGAACGGTCATTAATGGGCCGAATGGTATTGAATCGAAAATCGAGCAAAGTTTCACAGTTGATTAATAGTCTCTCATCCTCCTCAAAAGTACTGCTTTTTAAAGTGAAGATGCTCGATTAAGGGTTATCAAAGTGCGTGTTTTCATTTGTTGTATTCACTGTGATATTCGCGTTATGTTGACCAATATAGCGATTCGAAGAAGTCTATGAATGTTCTTGCAGACAACCAGAAACCGAAGCAAGAAGGTGTCGTTCGCGAAGCTCCCCGTCTAGTTCGGGGTAATCAGCTCCTACAAAACCTTTCTGTATTAATAATTTGTTGCGTTCATAATATTCTTCATCATCATCCGGTCTGGTGAATACTCTCACTGCAATAATCGCTTGTACGCAGTCACCAGCAAGCTGTCAATTAATTGATTGTGCATAACGTCATATCAATTCATAATCAGTGTTGATCAACTTTCTGCTCAGCGAAATATTGCACCAGCGCTCGAGTTATTCACCTCTCGAATGCTGCATATAATTCGCTAAATGGCAATTACCTCAAAATTCAAGATGGTTTAGCCATAACAATATTAATATAATTATTCAACAGTGCTATCTGCCGTTGTGTGTCGTCATTATTCCTACATCAGAGCACCACCTTTTTAATCAGTTCCAATTGTCGCCGTCATGATTACGAACGAAGCATTCCAGAAGTTACTTTATGATTTATTCTGTATGTGGCATGGCGTTAGACGTCATTATGATCCACCTATTACTGATTCGAATGAACAACGCCTTTCAAAGGTTTTTTTTTTTGAAATAATCATTCACTTTTTTCAACCTCTCTCAGTGATTGCTTGAGTCTCTTCAAAAGGTATAGTGTTAATGAATTTATGAATATATCTATCAGATTCATCCGTGATTTTCAAATGAGCATCAGTTGTGCATTGTGTAAGTTGTGTTATTGATGATTGCCATACGAAATGAACAATCTTTCAACTCAATGCGATTCCTCCATGCACATTCGCACTCTTTTCACATGAGTTTTGGCTGTCTAGTGATTTTTGTCGGGGAGCAATTTCATGACCTGAAATGAGGGTACAGACCCTTCTGAATCAATTTTGTCAAGCAATGGGCCACCGAAGAAAACCTAAAAACTAAACGAATGAAAAATGGTTCTCGACGTGATACTCCCTCTTTGTTTGACGAGCACTATTAATCCAATCAAATTTACCAACAGTAAATCAAGCTAATGCTATCCAAGATTGCGTAACTCAAAAAATTTTGCAAGAATATCGAATAAATGAGATCGAACGCCTTTATAGTTGATACCATTCGATAATCGCTCATGAAAAATCTAATCTCGATATGATTCTTACGAGTTTTTTTTCATTCAAAACTAAGAATTCCAAACAATCACTGTAGAGTAATTGAATAATCATTAGATTAAATAGTTTGTGTGGTCTGATAATGAACATGAAGTAAGAATCACTAATCTTGCAAAAAATCGATTTGCTGCGCAGTCACTGAACAACAAACGAATAGGTTCTCTGTCAACATCCAACCTGACCCAAAAGTTTCTTCCTCAGTCAATAATTTCAAGCTTGTAATAAGTGTTCATGCAATATTTCCGTTTCCTCAACATCGGTCCACAAATATTATAGAATTAGCCACCTAATTCAATAGAAGAATGGATCAATTACGGGTGTCGTAACTGAATGCATTATTGGTCGAATACAGCAAACGAAACTACCTTGTTATAATATAACATTATCTTAGTGCCATATCCTTCGACATTCTATTCAGTTCCTAGGAGATTCAACGAAAAATAATTTAAACAAACATTCAACAGAACACAAATGAAGTATGATTATTTCATTCAAAATATATCACGAAATTTTCATACCAATCGGAAAGAAAACGATAAAATTTCCAAAACGGTCGGAGTATTCGTTTCACATCTTACATGCACTGTCGAATGAACGTGTGTTCATTATATGTCTTTTACACATTATAATAAAATTTACATTACTTGTTAAAATGAGAATTATTTGGTTGAAAATGAAGGAGAAAAAAACATAACAGTTTTTTGTGTGATCAGTTTTCCGTGCAAAAATGGTTAGCATTTTGCAAAAAAGATTTCGTTTGTTTCAGGTGAAAAATATGATCTGCAAATTACTGTCAGAGATTGACGCAAGAGTAACGCGTGTTAAAACGGAATTCACTGGCGACAAACAAGCAAGCCTTTATATTTGTCGTTATTTAAGCATTTTGCACGCACAAAATAGTCTTGATTTCAATGTTCACTCTCGAATGTATATCCCATCTTTTGAGGAAAATTTAATTGAAAGAGTGCTTCAACCAGGTTGCTTCGTTGTTACTTTGAACGGGACAGTGAAAAAAGCGTAAACTGCTTGTTTCAATTCTTACCAATAGTGCTCGACTCTAGTAATTATTTCGCGATACATTTGATTTTTGATGGCTCATAAAAAAGAGATGCCTATATTTGGTAATGCGCTATTCAACGAACAGTTTCGAACTTAATATCAATTTATGATCATATAGAATGATCACATAAAATGCAGACTTCATGGTGACTGTTTATGCAGTTATTGAATAATCTGTGTTGAGGAGTTTTATGAGGAGTGGACAATGCTAACGTGGAATGTGCTGTGTATTACGAGTCGGCTCCAGAACAGTTTATCGGTGTGTGTCACCTCTACAGAGGACAAGGTGATCTTCTCAAGACTCAACAATGCGCTAGTTGAACTTGTTAACAACTCCAGGTTTAACGCTGCTCTTGCTTTTTTTCTTACGATTGACCTGTAGGGATGTGCTCTTCTCGTTTGTATCTGTCACAACAGTCCGACTTGTTTATGATTCATCCACAGTCGACTGAAATAATTTCACTCTCTCGCAAGCTTGATTCAATGCATTGTTGGATTTTTTAAAATTTTGATAATCAAACTTTCTTCGACTGATTTTGAAAATTGATCAACGTAAGCAATAATGCTTGAATGCAAGTAAGAGGAAAGATGATAGGGTATTCGTTAGGTATGACGATTGCTTTAGATTTCATTTGGTTTGTACATTTATTATTGTTCACAATTTTGGAACATTTAATATCATGCATCCTAAATTTGAGGGAATCAATATTACCATCGGTGATTATTGCTAACGATCCGAATTATATGACATTCTCAGCATCACTGAGCGATGCTATGCACTCATTACATACACTTTATAAGGTTTGTTTCGTTTTTTTTTCTACAATATTTCCCACATTACCTTTGTCTACTATTCATTGCGACATAAATGTCTCTGATAATTTTGATTGCTAGAAAGTGCCGATTTTGTAATGTCAGACGGTTTCAGAAGCGATTTCGGTCTTTTCTTTTCTTGCTTATTACCTTCCATGAAGACAGTTAACAAGTGCGATTAGCAAAATTTAGTCGCATCGATAGCGCTGAGATGTGTGATAAACTTCTGGGAAGTGGAAAATTTTGACATGTAAACTCAATGAAAATTTGCTGTTAATTTTAATGGGCATTGCAGGCGCTGAACGGAACACCAATTCTATCGAACACAGATATCGAAGGTTTCCGTGTACATCTTCAGCAATTCGCTGACGAGAAGCTCATCCCATGCATCGAGTTGTTCAAAGTGAATATGAACAAACGCTATGTTCTTTTTCAAATTTCCTAATGCTCAAAGTATCGTCATCAAGATGTGCTCGTGAAAGGCGAACTTATAGCATTTGCACGCGAAATTATACCTGAGCTGTAGCTATTCAGCGGCACGATTCATTGCCCACGATGCTTCATTTCATTGTGCTATGTTGAAGATAACTGAAATAATGCAGTGTTTGTAGAGTTTCTGTAACGAGCACAGTGTTCGTTTATGGAATGATGTACGCGCTGCACAAATTCAGCGCATGTGTGACTTTCAACCGATGCCTGATCATCCGGTTACAAGGCTTGTCTCATTTTATAGTCATATGATGTATATACTTGGTGTTCTTGGTGCACGTCTACAGGTGAAAATCTAATTACATTTCGCTTCTTGCGTCAAATTTATCATTCTTCTCATTCCAGTTCCATTCTTGCCGTATTTTCACCCAAGTTGCATCGTTGGATTGCATAATGTATTGTAATGTTATCCAGAAATCATTTCTTCGGAAGTTCTCTTCAGAAGTTACAATTACTTACTCTTCTTTAATATATTCCAAAATTTTTTGGTACATTTTAGGGAATGAACATTGTTCAATCATGATCCATGAATATGGGCAACTCAGAAAAACATTCTAAAAATCGAATTAATGGTTTTCAAATGATTTCCATCCTAACCTCATTTTGCTTACTCACTTCTATTTAGTGTAGTTATTTTTGAAGAGAGGCGCGTTTATAGGAAAGATTTTTTTTTCTGTTCATCCCAGTTATGACTGGGACTGCAAATGACTGCAGTTATGACTGTAAATTGAAAATCGCTTTTACGATGATAATTTTCAGGGATTTCGTTATGAGTTAATAATGAACAAGAAAATGTTCGGTTCATTTGATCCAGTTCAACCACTCAGTGAAGCGGTTTTCGCCGCACTCGATCTGTTAATGTCGGATTGCGTGCTTGCCACTGAGCCATCAACAAACGCGATTTTGGTAACAAACAATTTGTTCTCGATGAATTGTGGTGCACTTGCTCGTGGAGTTGTTTTTAAAGACTTTGAAATACAGATCATTTCTGAAGAAACAGCTGAGCAGATCCAGGTAATTTACTGAATTGCTTCACGTTTGATCGCATTTTTGTGTCCGTTTTTTTACGCCTAAGGCATTTTGAATGTCGATACAATCACTCTCTTTTTCGCGGTGAAATAATGAATTCCCACTGTAATACAAGCCTGGAATTTAGAAAAAAGAACCTCACCGGATTTGTCTAGCAAATAAAGTGATTCTGTTGGAGATATCGTTAAAATACGAACTTCATTGTTTCGTTGATAGTGATTTCACTTAAAAATGGTAAATGAAAGAATTTGCGTTTACCACAAGAATTGCAGTCTGAGATGCGACGTCAAAAAATGCTGCAACAAGCATCACCAATTGGTACAGTGCCGTCGGCCGCATTACTCGCCATGAAACCGACATCAGGAACGAAACGAGCCAGTGGTAACACTCTAACTCAAGGTCCACCACTTAGTTTGACAACTAACGTTTGGTCAACTTCACGGTTACTTTCTGTCAAAACGCTTGCATCACTACCAGTAAGTGAATGTAGCTGAGTGACGTGTTTTTTGCTTAATGAAATTCTGGGGAACCTTGAAACGACCCATAAGAGGTTGGCTAATTTAATTTCTAGTTTAATCGGCATTATGCTAATTTCAGAACACAGCAGCAGTAGTGCAGCTCATAAGAAATCAGATGTGAATAGTAAAGAATGCGTTGTGATTTATCCAGTTTACAATTCCAAGAATCGTTACTGGGCTGCCACCTACCCGCATTTATTGTGTACGACTCGACAGAAAGGGCGACATTCGGTGAACAGCTCTTTCCAGGTTTCGATTGATTTCTTTTCTGTTCATCGGTGATGTTCACGCATTTGTTCATAATCAGTATTATTCATGGCTTCGTTCAACCTTCCAGCCAGTGCTCCACCTCTCTTTCTATCATTGAGCGTATTAATTAGAATTGCTTTGAATGTTGCTGAATGCATGAGCAGCGTTCAGAGTTGAACTCAAGTGTAAGTGTAAGCCTAACCCAACCCCAACTGTTAGCATAAATTAGAGTCTAAACCTGAGCTCAAAGCCTCCTGTTGGGAACACTTCCTCATTAGCCTACATAAATTCATGGCGCTAACAAATGGGTCTATGAATCTTTTTAAAAAGTCTCTTGTCTTGAGGATCTCTCTCCATCCCAAATGGAAGGTCGATCGTCAGGCAAACGCCCTATCTTCTATTTCCACATTCGAGCCACAATGTTCTCTCCATCTGGTCAATTTGCTACCGCACATACGCTCTCATTACCGTTTACAATCGCCACCCGACGCAATCAAGTGAATCAACTGCTCGATAACTCGTTTATTTTTCAAGACTTTCCAGTTCATTATTCGAGTAAACTCAATCATATTAATCTGCCAAAAAAAAACATTTTCTATCCCATCGTAGAGTTGTTGACATTTTTTATCTGGATTGATGATAGTCGAAGAAAAGCAAAGAAGGATTTTGAATTGTCTATGATCTTTAAGGACTGCCAAGTGCAACGTATGATGAGCTCGTATACAGCAACCTGTTTCTGGCTTTATGGAAGCAAAGCGCAAGATGGCCTTCTGTTGAATTGGGTCGATGCAGGTTATCATCCCATGAAATAACCCTTTTGCTTATATCGTTTTTGATTGGCACATTTAACGTTTTCTTATTTGTATTTTGTTTGCTTCATTAAAATTCTTCCCGTTCATTTCAGTGCTATTTCGTTCATTCCTTTCGATTTTACTCAGTCCTTTTTCTGGATTTTTTCAACAGTGAATCATTTTCAATGAATTATTGCGTATTTCGAACGGCATTTATAGGTCTTGAGTGGGAAAATTTCAAAAAATTGTTCATGCAGCATTTCAAAGTTAGCGCTGATGTGTCACGTGGTCTTCAAGATCGAGACTTCGATTTGTTACGTTATAAATTACAGTGCCATGATTGCCAGATTGGAGATTTTGGTGCTCGTATTAAATCTGCTCAACGTTAGTAATTTAAATTTAAAATCGAACCAAGATACCGAGATTTTTCGAGTTTATACGGTATATTTTCTCTTCTTTGCAATATTTCGTATCAATGGTTACGACAAAAAATTTCGTAATTGCTTCAACATTTTGAATCGATGCTTTTTGAATTTCAGAAATCGTCACTTTCAAAAATGTGCTCTGTCCACATCTACGCTATGAATGCGGCCATACAAACGTACGTTTCAGCGTGTGGCGGGGTATGCTGGAATTGCTGCAAATTTTTCAGGTATTATTCTGCTCAGTCGTTATCGTTAATTATTTATATGTAAGCTCAGTCGATTGAATTGAAAACCTGATTGATCTGAGTGACTCATTCAATCAGTTCCACTCACTTGCGGCCGTTTATTGTATTAGCTTCTCGATGCAAAACTTACAGTATGCGTGAACGTATTACCCGTTTGTTTTATTCTGTTCTTATTAATGCCATAAACTTCTTGAAGGATTCTCGCACAAATGTTCGCAAATTATGGGAAAAGAATATTCTCATGGGATTTCTTGAGTTTGATCAGGTGAATTAATCTGTATTTTAAATTGGTCTTGCCTTAAGTCTTTTAGCAGTTATAATTATGTTAAAAGATTGTATCGTTAGAACACTTCAAAGAGGCTTCAACAGAAAGTGCTTTTTCATTCAAAAAGGTGACTGAATCTCACAAAGAAACTTGAACACAGATTGTTAATTGTAATTTTTAAAGAATATACAGTTTACTAATAGAAAGGGAAAGACTCTCTGAAATAATAATGCGTTTTTGTTTGGTTCAATCTGTATTTCATTGAAGTGTTGTAGTGCGTGTATTTAGGTGGCTGAAATTTTGGAGTCGCATCAGTCAGCTCTTGTGATGCGTTTGTCATTCGTAACAGGTGGTACAATATGTCTAACGGTGAAATCAAGTGCACATGCTGTGGGACAAGGTACAACCGCACCAATACATTTAGAACCTCTTGATTTGAAGCGTCTTCAGGCTAAATGCTTGAAAGATTATCTTCGTGACATTGCTGATGCTGAGAAGGTATGTCAGTCATAATTTAATTTATCTGAAGTTCATTTATTTTTCTCTAACGTTCTTCTGAAAGCCCTGGTTGATCGTGATTTATCTTCACTCTGAAGTGGATGTCCAGTTGTGTTTCATCCACTTTTGTCTGAGCAGTTCAATGAGTGCATGTATGACTCTAAATAACATAACCTTTCTTCAAACGGAGTTTTGGTGTCTTTTGTGAACAGAATAAGTGGCCAGCAATAATTCAGGTGGAATACATTGTGAATGCAAATCTTGAATTGGTACGTATTCGAGATGTTTTATGTGAGTTCAGTGATCCATCCGCAAGTGGTGACGATGAGTTGGTGAGTCGAGATATTTCATCAAATGTCACACATTCGGGCGATATCGATGCTATGCAACATATCAGGTTCATAACTCTCTCTTCATTCATTTTATTTATTACTTCAATTCAAGCCAGTCTCGAAACTCAGTGATCATTTCGCGTTACACGTTCCAAATAATCTTTAACATCTCATTGAGCAATATCTATAAGTATCTTCAGACCTATGAATAAAGGAAAATTGAATAACTTTTAAAAGAGAGGAAGCAAAATATTCATCATCATAAAAAGAGATAAAAATAGATGAAATCCACGAAAATGAAAACTTACCGTTGTGTTATGATGTTTCGTGTGTGCCTTTCCAATTTAAATCAGTTGACCACCGGAAATATTAGGTTCACAGCAATGCGTATTGCGGTTGTAACCTGCAAATTGAAGCCACCAAGCAGCGATTATTCGATTGAATTAGATAACAGCGTTGCACACGATAAACGAATCGCACGTGCTCACACTTTCTCGAGACATTTTCCCGTCAGTTCGCACTCAAACGATGATTTCGTACGAGAACTCACACAACTCATGAATTTTTACGTGAAAAATAAGCAGGTATTTTCACGTGCTTTTTAATGTTTCTATTTTCACTTTTCAATTTATAGCGTATTTTTCATATGTATGTGGATATAATAAGTTCATGATACACAGTGAATAGATGAACATAGCAAAGCATCGAAACGATAAGAAATTTGTCAGGAAAAGCTTAAATGGAAAGAGTTGATTGTACAATCAACTAATGGATGCCGAAGTGTGGCATGTGATATGATATCAACGAAACGAGACTTGGTTACAGGATGTAATTGATGCACTGGACTTGGTGCGTTCCGAAAGCTTGCTGGCAAGTACGGTGTCACACAACGGCGGTGGCAGTAGTGGTTGCAGTACGGCACCGTCGCTGGCATCTCATTCGTGTACTCCATCGCCTCTCGGCACTTCGTACATGCTTCCAAATGGTAACAGCAATAACAATAGCAACATACCAACCCCGTCGATCAGTCCCAATCCTTCATCTCATATCGCTGCGCAAACTCTTTATGACCCTTCTCCGGTTCCACAGCAACAGCACAACAACAATGCTCTTATGGATTCAATCCAAGATTCAACCAATCACTTCAGTTACACCACTTATCAATAATATCTTTCTTAAATAACATTCCTTTCCATACTGTTGTTGCTAAACACATCAATATCAAACATTTCATTTGATTGTGAGCCGTTATGTGTATGTTTTATTTTTCGTATGTTTCGCCGTATTTCTTGATGTTCTAAAATTTATTACAACAACACAAAATTGCTGTTATTCAATGAAATTCAATACGACTGCAAAAAAAGTTGATTACATTCATGTGAAACATATAGTCGAAACGATCATTTATCACATATCTTTAATTCTCATAACACGTATGTTTTGGAATTTAATTTCACTCCATTCCTCAATTCAACATCTGACTAGCAGTTTTGCGTTGTTTTTTCAGTGGAGATTTTAATGAATTTCTCGTGTTGTTTTTGATTGTTGTATGAAAATTTTCGCAGTTGGATAAAAAACTGCATGTGAACGATATATTCTCGTTTGAGTGGCTAGAATATGCGGAGATGGGATTTTGCAATCAGCAATATTTTTATGCATCGAATTACTCCGATAGAAGTTGCTATTTTGAAAGTTAAGTCTTTCATGGAAGAAGTGTTAAATATTTTTGTTACCGATCACTTCTTTTTCACAGTTTCTCGTTTTACTCAATAACGGATGTAGAACGCATTATTGAAATGCATACGAACAATCATCTTATTTCTCTTTTTTTATTTTTTCTCTATTATTATGCAAACTGTCTTGATTTTTGACAATGAAAATTTGATATTGATTACTGAAAGCGTTTACATCGCCAACAAAAATATACCACTCAACAGTTTGCAGTCACCACGTTGATTTGGAATTAGTTTTTGTTGACACTCATCAACACGTTTTCGTTGTAATAGGCCAAGAGTGGCTTTCCTATTTGATCCTGAATCTAATTTTTGCATTTTACGAGTGTCTTATTGATTGATGTTCAATATATCTATAAATATTATACGTTTTGTTACTGTTTCTTATGTTTTAGGGTTGTTATTTAAATGATGCCTTTTCCATATACATAGCCATGCATATCTATTATACAAAATTGTTTCATCACTTTCATCATGAGATTTGTTAACGTTGTTCCTACTATAGTAGAATCATTGTTGTTGTTTATATTTGTGTATTATGTGCTATTTGTTTGTCTGTGTATGTTTGTGTTAACAATTTGAAATTAGATTCGTAATTTGTCATCATTTTTTCAATTTTCTTTTTCTGTCCTCTAAAGAATGTGAGTCGCGAAACTTTGATTATAAATGCCTCGACGATTGTTTCGTTTCGCGTTATATTGTGTTGCCTTACGTTTTGCCCTACAGTAGAATATCGACTCACAAACAAGAACTTACACTATAAAAAGTTTTATTTTGAGCACTCACTGAAACGACCCTCAGATAGTGCTATCAACTTCGTACATCCAAACTATTAACTTTGTATCCCTTTAGCAAAATAATACAGCCGTATTGTAAATATTTGAAACATTCCGAGGAAATTGCATGAAGAAAAAGAAATTTCGATTTAAATATGCAGCAGTCTTTTATCAGAGAAAATTAACTTTATAATCGCCAAGCCCCACTGTATATTCATTTTCTAAGTTGCTCATCTGTTATCATTGTTTGGTTACCGTTGCTTTTATTCATATTCTTGTTGTCATTATCATTTATTATTTCACCAATACTGCTACCGTTGTATTTTGTTAAGGAGAGATTTGATGTACGCTCGTTTGTGACTGTTCTATATGCGCGTGCTTCATTTTTATTGTTTTTTGTTGGCTCAGAATTTATTTGTTAAAATGGTTTCATATCTTACACAAGTGAGTGTAATGTTATAGATCCAATAAATTGGAACCATTTTTCGTTGATCCAATACATTATTATTGTTATTATTTATTAATAATAATAATATTATTATTATTATTATTATTATTATTATTATTATTATATTTTACACAATACATTGGTCAAAATTGAATTACGTTCTGAATAGAATGTAACAATATGACTTAATTTAGCGATGTTTCAATGAAAATGAATTTAGCGATAATATGAACAACTTCCAACTTTTAACATGATTTCGCCTTAAACAGGGACTATTCTTAAAGATTGTGATTATGGCTAACTCTCTTCAACTGGAAGCGTATATGTAGAAAATTTTGAATTTGTATTTTTCCAAAAAAACACTTGTGTAATTATCAGTTGAGCGTTTCTTCATTCTAGCATATCGCGTACAATATTAATGCATTTTCAATCTTCAACTTCATTAACCACTTTACGCTAATTCAACCCAGAAACATCATTTAATTAGATATGGTTTGATATGAATTCAGTTCGTAAATAAAAGCATATTTATACGTGTTCAAAAACGAAACATTTTATGTATCAGTGAGAAGTAACTTGTCGGCAAAATAAAACTCACAATCAGCTTAATATGATTCATTCATGATTTCCACCTCTCGTAAACATACACATGTAGATGGTACGGCCCACCAGAGACCGTTCAGCAAACGTAAGAATGCTTTCTTCTAGCTGGCAGAAGTGAATGAATCAACAAGGTGCTAACTTTCGGAAGAAAATACTAATTGTTCCCTATTCATTTGTCAATTTGATGTTATTGCATTGCCTCACCGCAGTTTAAATTTTAGTTCTTAACGAACAATGTAATAAATATCGAATCATATACGCTTGTATCTAAGAAATTTCAGATGAGTATATCTTTCTTAAAACATTCGAATGATATTCTCAAAACGTATTGCTTTTGCTTGGTTCATGTGCAAACTCATTGATCAATACGAATTTAATTGCAGTTGTCAGTTGTTCTTGAAATGATCAGTTCTGTACATATAGTTATGAACTCTTGAATGCTTCATTCAGTTTCCTTTAAAATTTAAGTGTATATCATTTGCTGAAGAAACGTTTCTTATGAAACAGTCAGTATCAATAGAATTGACATTGAATATCAGTTGATGCTGAAAAGGAAATTTGAACGAATGTTTTTTAAGAGCTTGAATTGTATGAGGAATAGATGGTAATGAATAAAACATTTTTTAGACAGATAATAGAAGTGAATGATGATTGTCGTGGAATAGTGGTATGTAAGGACGGATGGCTAGTTCATATCTTTTTAATGAACGGCTTGATTATATCGCTGAAATTGATTGTTATTGCTTCATGAACGCAGGCAGCATTCGTGAATTTCTATTCCTTGCTAGTTTCGCGTTCTGCATGTTTCGTTTGATTGAATCAACTTCAGTATGGATTCGAGCGCCTTTTAAAATTCACCAGATTTCGAATTTGTGGCTGAGCCGAAATTCCAATGGAGCTTATAGTTTAATCATCAGAATTTAAACCATCATTGCGCAATGATCACTCGCACGCATATGCGTCATTGTATAAAAATACTGTTCATTGTTATCAGACCATCGAAGCTTTCTTTCCCAATGATGATTCAGTGAAATGAATAAGCTACGTTGATTCTATTCCGTTTTTTGTCATTCACGAATCCTTTTACATTTGTGATTACGCTTAGCAATAGAATCATGATGAGATAGATGCTTTTTTCGACATAACAATGACTGATTGAGCAAAGCGTGGAAACAGAATTTTCTACAACTACGCTTAGCAATAGAAATGAACAATGTAAGTTGTTCGTAAATGATTAGAATGAATAAAGTATGAATTTATGAGTGATTACATGAAATGAAGTCGTGTCATGCTCATACACTATGATACCACCCTAAAACAGCTCAAATAGGAGCAATTAATGGTTCATCATATATCAAATGCAATTGATTCGATTCGAATCGCATCAAGTTCAATCAAATCGCATTACATCACATTACATTACATCCTTGCTAATGCAGCTATCACATCATCACACAACAGTCGCATCGAAAGGAATAATTCTTTCAATGTGAACGACTGACTACTGCAGGCTGGTAATGCAGCAGCAGCAGCAGCAGCAGCCATATCTATTGCGGTTGGTTTGGTTGTTGCTGTATTTCGAGAGATAGCAATTTATTTGTTGCTGTATGTGAAGTGAAATAGAAGAAGATGCAAGACGGATGTGTATAGATAGCTGCTGTATTTTAATAGACGATGGCTGAGCTGATACTGCTTACGACGATATGGAATATTTTAACTCATCAGTGAATTGTATTCATTTTTTGTATCTTCTTGCCTAGCAAAAACCCTTCCCTATCCGTATCCGTTGGTTGTATTGTGTTGCTGCTGTTAAACTTTCTTATTGGCACCACTAAAACAGCTGCTAGCCCAGGCAAAGCTGAGCAACACATTGCTAATCAACTTGTTCTTCTTTTGCTTCCTAATCCTTTCACTGCTTTGCCTATTATTTTTATCTTCCTGTTTTCATTCTCATTAAATTTTGTCAAATTCCTCTCAGAAATATCAGTTTTTCACACAGCATGAAAATGCTCAAGTTTCCAGATTTGCATATATTGTTCACCACCATTGTAGAAACCATCACACGTGAACAAATTAGTTATCACCTGCTGACTGAGATAGGTTATCGATGAATACTGTGGAAGAGATGCTGCTGAAAGTTGATGATAGCTAACTTCACTGTGTATTGGCTGATCTTTTCTTATCGACATGAGATCTCGTTGTTGTTATCACAATGAGGCTAGGTGCTCGTATTATTCGTTTATTGAATTCATCTGACATATAAAACTTGTAAATGTTCTTTATAAGCTTATAATGGTATAACTTTAGTGAGTTGAGGAAGTTGAGAACAGTTGACATGAAAGATTGTGTAAATATGACGAGAGTCAATCGCTGAGCACAGTAATAACATAGCTTCTTCGTTCATTGAGTTGTCTTCTTTGCGTACGTTACTCATACATACACCATCATGGCTGTGTTTAATTTGATTTTATTATTTCATTTCTTGAATTTGATTTGATTATCTTGAGTTTTTTTAATTTTGAAAATGATTTTATTTTTTCATTTCAGTCGTTTCTTGAATTTTATTTCAAATTTGTGTTCTCCTTAAATGCAACTATGCACATGCGACAAGACTTATAGCATTAATTTGTTCAGTAATTGTAACATTCATTGAAGATGCAAAAGAAAAGCATTTCCATTGTGAATCGTCACAAATTTTGTCGCATTTCCGCCCTCATTTGAATTCGAAGTAAGGCTGTTCTTCAGTGCACTGCCAATGACCTTAGAAATGCAATGGTCATAGTGTTAAGATGAATTAATTCATTTTGTTGGTGTATACAATCTAAACTTCATGATTATATAGCCAGCCGGACGGTTATGGTTAATTGAGAATGGTGAAACAAGTTTCCGTGGAAATTTCCGTTTTTCACCAATACTGTTGTTCTTTTTCTCGAAGAAAAAGAAAAGTACTGAGCAGACCGAATTTCGTTAGTCTCCTTAAGAGATACGATGCGAATAGCGATTTGTTGTACTGATAGTTGATGGTCACTGCCGAGCATTGGGCTCGTATCTTTACAGGACAGCTGAATGTGGAATGGAACTGCGTTAACATTCAATCACAAATTCACGTGCGATTATGACGTTAACATTCATAATTTGCCCACTAAGGACAACAAGCATCCTCAACGAGCTATTTCATCTTTTGCTCTGTCCCGTTTTTTACTCTTCTTTTACGAGTAATGAAAATGGTCAACTAAAAAATAGCAGTGGAATGAATTTCAATTCAAATGGTGAATTGCGTGTCTCTTTGAAAAGTTTTTAAAAATACAATCCAGGAAATTAACATCGAGTCTTTTATTCTCATAAACAGGCTTTTAAGTTTTTCATCTAGGTCAATTTATGAGTTACACCCATTTCAGCTAATATCATCTTCAAACAATTCAATGAAAAATCTCATTCCAACTTGGAAGTAACGTCCATTTTTTCCGTGTATTTTTCTATCACAAAATTGTAGAATATTGAAGAATGAGAAATTAAAACATAAAAAAGCAGCTATTGATTGATGAGGATAAGAATACAAATCAAATGAGTGTTTCAGTCTTACTTATCTCTGACTTAAGTAGTAGTCTTATTTCATTATTATTTGTTTTCATTCGGTTGAGTAAACGAACATTGCTGTTCAGTGTGTGTTTGTCTCAGTATGAATGATGATCTCGTCAAAGCAAACCATTTTACGTCCATTCTTTCTTGAATGTCGAAAGAAATTGGAAATGAAGCAATTTTTTTTTTCGTTTTAAGCCTAATAAGAATGGAAGAAAGCTATCGAATTGATTAGCATTAAACATGTTGTTTATAGATTGTACGTAAAAAAAAGCACACTTTCGAAACACAACAACAGAATCGTCACATATGTATGACGGAACCAACCGTCTTCGCAATTTGAAGTTGATATCAAAAAATTCTGTAGTCAGAATCATTTCGATGCATAGTTGAAATCGATAGTCGCATATTAGAATGGAGCATTCGTTTCAGTCATCATCAAACGAAAAAAATATGTATCGACATTTGTGCAGTGTCTTCTTCTTTATGTAACAACAACTAGCCCAACTGGCACAATAAAATTTTCAATAAACGTAATTTAGCTTGAAATATATCATTTAAATGATAGCAACGTTTCTAATCGGTGGAAAATTTTCACAAGCACGTTCTGAAATAAGTGATGAATCTTTTTTGGTAGTATAGTGTTGCAGAGGAAAATTCTTTTGTGGGCATAGTACTGTATTTAGCAAATGATTGATATGAGTTAGTGAAGATGTTTGTTGACCTGAAATAGTTTCAAAATTATCACTTAGATTGTGAAGCCTGAAGGCTCTGTTTGCACTCGAAATCGCTTAACCACCAAGTGCATTTGCGATTATTATACTTGTCATAGCAGCTTGGGTTAATTGTGTTAGAAGTTGATTGACTCACTACCTCATGGCGGTGCTTCGTTTCGCATTGTTGAACGTTTTTATTTTAACGATCTTTTCGAATGCTTTTTATATGTTCCTCTTAACCATAGTTACTTAGCTGAAGTAAATATCGTCGCTTTGAACCAATTTTGCACTTCTGCTAGTCAATCTATGTTGGAAATGAAGGAAAAACCATATTCCTGTAAAATTCATAAAAAACGATAAAAGTTATGAATAAATGCCACTCGAAGCTTTCACATACCCATACTTATATATATA